ATTATACCAACAAACTCCTACTTACTTGTTGGCCGGCCGGTGAATAAGTAAAGTAACATTTGACCCAAAACTTTTTACCTATTCGGGGAACGAAAAAATGAAATAAGTAAACATGATGATAACCAGTAAAAAAAATAAGTGATCATCTCATCACGGCTCAATCACTTCGTAACCTTGAAATAATGAAGTCAACTTTGGAGATATGTAGGAATAAATTTCTGCTTTTTTTAAGTGAACCAACCCAATCATAAAGTAAGTAGGTTCGATTTTTGTGTTGGAGGATGAAGCAACTTTCTCGGAAAAGATAAGGATTGATAGATTCAGATTCGTAGTCTCAATTTAGCTCGACTTTTGCCTCACGATATGTTGGTGCTCAACTCGTGTAGGATAAATAGTTGAACCGTGTACGTACTGAGAAAAAAAGTGGAAGATCAAAAGGATTCTGGATTCCTTTTTGCGTTCCGTGGGACGACCAGAATTTTTAAAGGTCTCACAGTTTAAAGGAGACGACGAGGAGTCAATATTACATATGTATGGACGTGTGATACGTGTGTGTTTAAACATCAGAAACTATACAACCGTGAAGTAAAGAGGGAGGTTGGATGTTTGGGAATAACCGATTTTGATGCTCTTTGGATATGTTGTAGGATCCGATGAGGGTACTAAAATAATTGATTTTTTTTTAAATTCAGTTGTCACATTTTAGCCTGCCCATTCAAAGGGGGCAAAAATATTTCGAAAAAAGCCCTGCTTTCACTCATTTAAAGCTAAATTCAATTTTTGAAAAATTCTTGCACTTCCAGATAGTTCCTTTCTAATGTCTAATAACCAATTAAACGTTTTAGAAATTTCAGAAACTTTCGAAAATACTAGAAAAAAATTGGTATCGAATATTATAAAGCAACTATCTGGGTCTATTTACAATGGCGCAAGAATTATTTTTAAAATCCGGATCAAGTTGGGAATTTTAGCGAGTTTTGAAGATCATAATTTTGGTGTTTTTGCCCTCTTTGAATGGGTGTGGTGCCAATTGAATAAAAAAACTCTGGCGTTTTAACACATCCAAAAGGCACCAAAATCTGTTCTTCCCAAGTAGTGAGGCTTTCCTCCCAGCTTTCCAAAGTCACCTCCCTCTCGTATTAGGTATTATTTTCAACCTTTTATACATATATATACCGCATATCTCCTCCTCTAATTCGTTTCGTCTTTCGTCCTCCCACATGCATAAATTACACCCAGTCCCGAGAAATTCGATACGATCCGCAGTTTAGTTTTGAGATTTTAAAATGCACGACTCGACCATTAAAGTGAAATGGAACCAGATACATAAAGACTGAAATCGAAGTCGATCACTTGTCATGATTCGTTCGTACGATGCGATGAAAAGGTTAAGGACATGACTTGAGGACGAATATCTGTAAAAGATGCAGTGTTTAGATTTCAAAAAGGGTGGATAAAATGTCATCTCTTTCAAATATACGTCTAGATTTTCGTTATGCAGCAGCAGCTTACACAAAATTCAGACCTACCTACCTACTTTCGAATTTGTATCTCTGCAAACTACTGAAAGTGAATACGTCTTTCACAAACATTGAAGAAAGGAAGAGAGAAAAAGGAAACATTCAAAGCCCTCCTCTCACCTCCACAATCACCTCACAAAACAGAACAGAAGAGGTGAGTGAGTCAAGTTTAGATTGGTTGGACCATTGACCTGACCTTCGAAAAGAGGGAGGATACATACATATCAGACATAAGCTATCCCACCAACTAAACTTGAACTAACCCACCCTAGAGCCCGATGTGGTCTGGTTTGTTGGTTGACTGGTTGAGTGAGATGATGGAGAAATCCAATTTGGGAGTAAGTTCAACAGGTAAGAAAAAAAGAAAGCAAAAGAAAGAAGCCAATTACTTGGTGGTGTATGTATTCCTTCTCAACGGCCAACACTCACTTTGCACCCGTCAGGCAAGGCAACCACCAACCCCACCGGGATCTTAACTCCCAGGCCACGTACACCCACACCAACCTGGCTGGAGGCAAATGAAAAATAATGTCGTTTTATACTATACTGCAACAGTTTAGTTTGACATTGGGCTACTTTTTCGGTGGAAAAGTGGGTATTTTATACGGTTTACGCTACGGAAAGGTGAGTGGAGGGAGAAGAAAGTGGGGAAACTTGACTTTCTCTTGACAACTGTCCATCCTGTTTTTACATGTTTGGAGAAAAACGTAGTTGTCAGTTCATTTACAAGATACGTAAAGTCAGTACATATGTACTGACTTTATGGACAAGTACAATTTTCCGGAATTTGTACACTTGCTATAAATAATTCTACCTTTGCTATTTAGTTACCTGTATTTAGGTATTTCTTTAATTGGAGAAAGTTGATACGGTGAAAAATGAGCCTGAAAATTCAAATTACTTTACAATACACGTGTACTTTTTTAAAAATCTTATAAACTCCGTTAATCTGACGGAATACTGATTGTATTGTGCTCATCAACTAATGAAACATGACTTTCTCTTGACATCTGTCCATCCTGTTTTTGCATGTTAGAAATATAGTTGTCAGTCCATTTACAAGATACGTATGTACTTGCTTTATATGCAAATACAATTTTCCAGAATTTGTACACTTGCCATAAATAATTCTACCTTTGCTATTTAGTTATTTCTTTAATTGGAGAAAGTTGATACGGTGAAAAATGAGTCTAAAAAATTCAAACTTATTTTACAATGCACGTGTACTTTTTTAGATCTTATAAACTCCGTTAATCTGACGAAATACTGTGCTAATCAACTAATAAGTTAAGTGTGGAAATTTGACTTTCTCTTGACATCTGTCCATTCTGTTTTTACATGTTAAAAGCGTCCATTTACACATATGTACTTGCTTCATATGCAAATAAAATTTTGCAGAATTTTCACACTTGCTATAAATAATTCTACCTTTGCTATTTAGTTATTTCTTTAATTGGAGAAAGTTAGTGATACCTCGAAAAATGAGTCTAAAAAATTCAAAACTTTTTTACAATGCACGTCAGGGTTCGGAAAAACCCGGGGTTTTACTCTGAAAACAACTACCCCGGGGTTTTACTGGGTTTTACTGGGTTTTACTGGGTTTTGGGGTTTTACTGGGTTTTACTGGGTTTTACTCAATGTTTGGGGTGAAATAATAAAACTTACAATGTTACGTCAATTTGTTAAATTAATGAATGTTATCAAGATTTATCAAAAAACTTCAATTCATAATGACAGGAACACAAGAAAAATACGAATTTGATCAAACTCCAAGTTAAGCTACAAATTATGATTTTTAGATCAGAAACAAAAATTCGAAATAAATAGAAAAATGTACGGAATATTAATCAGAGTGCTTAATTCGAGGTATATAGGCACCTGCAAACTGATTCTATAGATTTATCTATTTGAATTTCCGATAAAACTTAGTAAAACCCAGTAAAACCCAAGTAAAACCCCTTTAACATAGTAAAACCCGCTGGGTTTTATTAATTTACTACCCAGTAAAACCCAGTAAAACCCCAAAACCCCAACCCAGTAAAACCCGGGGTCGGAATACCCTAATGCACATGTACTTTTTTTAAAATCTTATAAACTCCGTTAATCTGACGAAATACTAATTATATCATGCTCATCAACTAATAAGTTCTGATTTTATTTCCTGCAATTTTATTTATAATTTCTGTAACGTATCTGCATATGTACATATGTAAAGTGATCACGCTCTCCCCTCATGCACACGGTGTGAACCAATCTCTCTCAGTAATGTAACTTTACTTAAACTTTGACATGAATAAAATTCTTTATTAGTACATGTCGCAACTTTCTTTTTTGATTCGTATCCAGAAATTAAACTCATTTCGCAAAGATTTCGCAATTTCTTTATCCAATTTAGCACACTGCATCTTTCGCAAGATTGATGAACAAATACTTATTTAGCAATCATCTCCCATTATTGTATACACGGCTCAAACTATGTACAATAAACTGGAATGAACCAATTTATCTTGATGAGTAAACGATACAAGATATTTATTACTGCGTTTACTTAAAATGATCATTAAAGTTTACAATTTCCCAACTTTTGAAACCCAATCTGACCAATATCAACCCACGCTGAATACACACTTTAATATCTATACGTACTAATCCTGCATCTAAACAAGCTTTCTCTCATTTTATAAGTAAAGATAAAAATACAGATGATCAAAATCAGGCCAAAATTGCATTTTTGATCTATTTTTCTCCTAAAATAATACCTCTAGAATTGAAATTCTTATTTTAAAATCAAAACCTATTTTTACTATTGCTATTTATTACAAAATATTGCTTTCACCACCACCACCACGACCACCACCATTGCTTTCTCCTATCTACCCGCAACCCATTTGTCCATCACGTGCACATCTAATGGACTCCATCATCCTTCCGGTTAAACTCTGGAATGGAATCAGACCTTATTTACCCGAGGGAAATGTTTTTCTCTCCAGCAAACTCCTACTTTCGAGAGTTTGCTTGTCTTTCTGTGTGTGTATGTTTTTGGTCAAAACCGAGACTATCTACTCGTCCCTCCCTTGTAAACTAAGCTTGTCCAATGTCGGTACATGTTCGTACGTAGCTTAACTGCTGTAACGGAACGGCAAATTTCTTCCTTTTCATTTTGCTGGCTGGCAAGTTGCCGGTGGTTAAAGTTGCTCGCTAAAAAAAGTGGAGGAGGTTTAAGTAAGCAGAAAGGAAAGCAAAATCGAGGAGAGACTTTAGACCCCACGCACATTTTGGAGAAAAGAATCCAATCCACAGTGGCCGCGGAAGCTTGAGAGGGACAATGTCCCCACGGTTGTTTAATGTCCGCATCATCTCCCCATGTTATCCAAACCCCTCCCTCCCCCATCCTACAATGTTAATGTCCCCAGATCTCTCCACGGCTTCCGCGGTCGCTATCCCGACTCAACAAGGTTTTTTTTATAAAAAAATCTCAACTCGAATTGCATACTTAAATATTCTAGGTATGGAAAATTGTATCAAATTTTGTACACACATTTTTCCTTTCGTTCATACATACATGCTTCTCATAATATGATTTATTTATCGAAATACACACGTGTGGGCGCATTAAATGTTTGTTCTAGATTCAGAAATTCACTTGGTTTAAACCGTATCATGACCATCATCGCAGGACGGGTTTCGGTGGGAAGAAGAGCTTGGAAATGTTCATTTGTTGGCTTTTTCTCGTGGAAATGTTGAACAGCTCGAAAACATTTTTGTGCGTCTTGTTCAACAACTTGTCCACTTTTCGCTGTCTTTCTTCTTGCGCTTTGAGCAATTTGTTGCGGGCCTCTGCCTCTTGTCGGGCCGTCATGTGGGCAGCCTTCAACATGCGACGAATGTCGTGACTTAGGCGACTTATTTCAGTGATGGAGATGCGAATGTCGGCCAGTTGACCGAGCGTATCTTCCGGTTTGAGCTGTAAAATATGTGTTATTAACGTAAGACTTGATGACTTATTACTAAAATCGTCACATTTTTAATAATTTCTCGGCTCTGGGAATTTATTTTAAAATTCTAGAAGACAAATTTGTTTGTCAGTAAGTTGATTGGTAGAAAGGCGGTGAGTTTTTTAAGCCAATGTCGATGATTTCCAATTTTTCTGAAGGCTTCTTAAAATTGAGATCTCTGTCAAAAACTGTCAAAATCTGGAGTGTACATTTTTTGAATTGGCAACGACCTGCCCTGCAAATTTGTTGTCCAGAATTTTCAAACAAATTCCCAGAGCCGAAAAATGATTAAAAATGTGCAGATTTTCGCGATTTTCGCGATGAGTCATCGAGTCCTACAAGATAATTCTGCATGGTGACAAATTATTGGACTTACATTAACATGGCGATGAAGAACGGTAACGATTTGCTTGTAAACGTTGTGAATTGCCATTTTGATCTGCCCAATGACCAGCGTTCGTTGGGCTGCGGTAACTTTGATCCTGGAAAGTCCGTCCTCCAACCAAAATACTTTCTCCCGAAGAATGGTGTCATATTCCAACATTTCTGTGAGAAAGTTACGGTAAGCCAATATTTCGTTGGATTTCAGCTGAAAAAGTGAGAAAGAAACCGCAATTATTTTTAGAATTGGCTTAGTTTTTGAGAAAAAAATGTTTACCAAAACATCGTTATCCAGCGACCGCTGGCGTTTCATTACACTTTCTCGGAAATTTTCAGAATCCTTGATAAGCGTGTCTCTTCCATTCGCGAGGATTGCGTAGCGGTCGATGAGATCCTTAATGTCGCCATATTCGCCTTGACTCATCTCCTTGGCACGTTGCAGGTATGTCTTAAAAATGGTAAATCTTAGCAATCGATTGTCCGACATTTCTCGAATTTCTTCCAATTTGTCGATTTCTTTGTTCTTTGCGCGAAGCTCTCTCTCGACGGCGGCAATTCTTTCGGTTTCCTTTTGAAACTGGGTCCGCGCTCGGTCACGACGGACGAAAAGATCTTTGTAATAATTATTGAATTGGGGAATTCGTTTAAAAATTTCGTCCTGTTTCATCGTAGCGGCTTGCCATCGTTCATCCATGAGTCGCTTCTCCTCCCCCCACGCGGCCCGAGCTTTGACGAGTTTTGTATCCAGACATGCAATTTCTTGGTTCGCGATCAACTTTTCGGAGGAAATTCCGTACAATAATTGTTGGTCGTTGTGGTCGGCGAGAGTTCTAACATCGTAAAAAAAGGATTTATGTAAATAAATAAGCCCTCCAGACGAATATAAATAAGTAGCGTCAGAGCGATTCCAAGTCCAATGACTCCATAGATCCCCTCGTCCTCACGGTCAAAAGGTCAAAAATATTGACGGGATTAAATTAGTGATGAAATTTCATTTAAAATTACACCAAATATGACAATTTTATATTTTTTGACCTTTGACCACGCCCTTGCGGTCATGGATTGGTCAAAGGTAAAAAAAAATATTGACCACGTTAAATTCGTCGTGAAATTTCCTTTAAAATTACACCCCTATATGAAAATTAAGTTGAATGTAATTTTGGACCACACCCTCGCGCTGTGGGGGGATGGTCCTATTAGTCCCATTATAAAACTCAACCGAGAACTAAAAATTAGAAGCACAATGGCGAAAGCCGCGTTTGATTATGTTGAACCATTCGAGACGGTCGGACGGACAAAACGATCCCAATAAGCGGCTGACGCTACTTAATAATTTCGCAATGCGTGAAAAATATATAGCAAAAACATTGAAATTTACGGATCGTTATCAACATGGTTTTCCACCCGCTCGTTAAAATATTCAAGCAGAGGTTTCTTCAGGAGACGTGGGGGTCCAAGATTTTTCGATTGTGGTTTCACCACAGGTTGACAGTCGAAGATGTCTTGACGCAACATTACGTATGAGCTGACCTCGCTATCCGATCCCTCTGTAGCAGCAATTTGCTTTGTAGTCGGTCGTAGATATTTATACGTACGTTGGATAAGTGAAAGTACGAACGTATTCTCAGAAAAAATAGGACAATTTCACGTTCCATAAGAATAGGATGCCACGGTGTTTCCATTGACAATGACTGACATGGACACGACAAATGTAAATGGATGTATCTATTGTAATTTCACAGGTTTGGTGTCTAGATAAAAATGCATATATCTTTTATTAAAATCTATATTTGGACATAAATGGATAGAAATTTAGGATATTTTTAACTTTAGCGTATCAAATTACCACCCAAACAAATTATTGGAGAGGAAACAAATACGTAGAATTCCTCAAGGGCTATGAAAATGTTTCCATTTATTTTAAGCCTTCACTATTGTCGCTGTATTGTAAACGGAACGTTAGATATACTCGTTTGTATCATGGAATTGTTATGTTGTGGGAACATTAGTGAAAGGAAAATTGTCGTGTTGAGTTGAAACGCGAGCGTCTTAACTTTCACGTCTGTGTAATTTTGTGGCGTTGCGGTGATTTGAGAACTTGGAGACGATCGCGATTGAATTGATGGCGAAGGAGTTGTGTCAAATTGAGGGGGTGTGGTTGTGGAGGGTGAAGGTGATGTCGTGGGAGGGAAGTACTGGTTCGTGGGGGTGGAGGGTGAGGTTGCTATCGTGGGGGGCGAGTTCGGGGTCGTGGGGGGCGATGGCGAGGATGATGACGTAGAGTAGATCGTGGGGGACGACGAGTACGAATAAGTCACAGCCGTTGTGGGAGGCGAGGTAGCAGAAAAAGTCGTAATCTCCTCGGTTAAACTACTACTACAAGGCAAGCATGTTATTTGGTTGTCCGTTGTGGTGGTAGTATTACAGGGACAATTCTGGGTGGTAGGAACAGTTTGAGGTGGATAAGACGATGCCGGCAGATAAGACGCAGCTTGTGTCGTTTCAGTAATACCGGTCATATCTGTACTATTGAAATCAAGTCCAATTCGAGCACTTGGTGGAGTCATTGTTGGTGACGATGTTGGCGGTGGATTGATAACATCTCCCGATACGTTCACAATATTATAGTCAGTTAAACCCAAATTATCCCAAAAGTCCATCCTACTAATGAAATCGGCATGTTCAAACTCCATTTTCGAAGTGTCATCAATCCGCAACCATTGGAAGTTTGGTCTGGCATTAAAATCGTCTCTGTACGCATTCGAAGTCAAGGCTGGGACCCATCCGTTCTCTTGCTCGGAGCATAAAGAACATTCCGGCCGTCTAGAAATATTGATTGATTTATTTATTACATACATTTTTCCACCCTTAAAAAATAATCTCATCTCATACCCCGTTTCCGCAAAAGAGGTGAACATTTTCACGAATTTCTTTGAAAAGTTGTAATCACTGGAAGAAGGCTCACTCGTAGTGTTCGACTTTGAACTGATTTCCGGGAAGAGATTTGGACTTTTGAACAAATACTGCATGTCATCCGCGTGTGATGGAGGCTTATTTTTATCTGCAATCACGATAATGCAACGTGTTAAAGCCATCCTAGCAAAAAAAGTGTCGATTTACAAAGTACCTTCAGCTGAATACCAATCAAAATGATCGACCAAGCTGTGTGACCCAGTTCGAGTAAAGTTGTACATGTAAACCGGGGCATAAATTGAGTATAACGCGGCCATGTCGCGAGTACATTTGTTAAACCAACGATCCCCATATGCAGCTGACAACTGGGGTGAATCTGCTCTGGAAATATTCCTTTTGGCGAAATAAAACTGCGAAATTTCCGCAGAAACGGTGCAAGGATCGCGAGCGTATTCTTCATAGATGAATGTATTGGGGGCAACTCGACCCCATTCAGTGTTGAGACGTGTTATCAACTTCTCGTCGGATAGGACGCCTACAAAAAAAAATGATGAACGACATGTGCCATACTTTTATTGCTTTTATTGGGGGAAATGTAATAAATCAAAGTGTGGCTGAATTTTATTACCTGCCGCATTAAGCAAAAGTCCTTCGTTGGACGTGAGTCCTAAAATGTATGGAATTTTATTGAAAGCTCCTCTTGCAAGGAGAGTGAAGGGTTCTTCATTTAAAAATGTGTCATCGTCGGTCATATAAGTTTCCAAACTTGGCCCAAATTGTGGATAGCTTGCGTTAAACAACTGTATTTTTTCAAAAATTAAAAAAATTTTGAAAAATTTTAAGCAAATTTCAATCATGATGATATTTACGAACCACCGAATCTGCTGGCACTGTAGCTTCCAAGATGACCCTGGTGTCCAATCTTTGCAAGCATTTTACTAAATAGGTCGGATTATTTGAAGGACAATCGACCGCAACTGCTAACTTTTTAGCGTTTGCTAGAGCCATCCCCGGTTTAAATTGCCTCGTCCAAGGACAAAGGGCAGATCCGGAGTGAGAAATTGCACCGGATATCAGCCCTAAAGTAGCACAATTTTAATCCTATGTATTTAGTAAAATCAACAAAAATCTACCTTTCGCCATGGGGGAAATTGTGAGATAAGACGCTGCAAAGCTTGCACTGCTACTTCCCTCGACTACGACGCGTTCCGGGTCTCCGCCAAAGTTTGCAATTTCTTTTGACACCCATTTTAACGCGAGGATTAAATCTTTTAATCCCATATTTCCACGGGCAGCGGCATTCCCCGTGTTCAGAAAGCCGAACGCGCCGAGACGATAATTCGCCGTGACGACGACCACACCCTCATCCATGAGGTACGAGGGGTCCACGTTTTTTGCATCTCCGAGTGAAAATCCCCCCGAGTGGATGACAAACAAGACGGGGAGGGAAACACTGTTGTTTCGGAAGGGAAGCTAAAAAAAGATTTCGAAATTTGGAAAATATATTTTTTTAGAATTTAAATTTTTATTTAGGGATACGCACATCCGGTGTATACACGTTCAGAAAAAGACATTCTTCTTCTCCGGAAACCTGTCCAGTAAATTCGTTAATTTGAATGCAGGCCGGTCCAAATTCTATCGCTTCTTTCGGCTCATTCCTCCAAGGTACGGGAGACACTGATAACTGCATATCCATAATTTTATATCAACCACCGCATACAAAAAATGTCCATGTTTAGCTCACCCCGAATCTTTCAGGAACTTGTCCATAAGGGATTCCTAGAAATTGAAAGTACTGATTTCCGTCTCGGGACAAAGCCACGCCACCGATTAGAGGACCGTTCTCCGTCTCTACGTAAGCTCGACGAGGCAGACCGTACTGAAGTCCTTCGACAACGGCTAAAACGGTGAACTGTGAGATGACAAGGAATTTTATGAAGACGGCAAAAAATCGGTGAATTTCTGTCATTTTTTAAGAAAAATTTCAACTTTTGATAAAAACCATTAACTCACGCTAACAAACCAGTGACTGAATTCCGACGAGGAAACGGCTCTGTTTTATTAACCGTGAGCCTGTTATACAACACATACCACGACCTTGCCTATGACCACTAGAGACAAGACCACCGACAAATATCAACAGGTATGTACCTCATTTTTTTACACATTCATTAAATCTGTGTGGGTGGGTGACGATGAAATGCCACTTATCGAACGAAAATTAGTTTTACGACGTGTTAATTAATAATAAATAAATAATTAGATGTACAAATTGCTGACAAAATGTCGAAAAGTTTGTCAATAAATATAAAATTATGATCCATTAATAAGTCATCATTTCCGGACTTTTATTATTTAACCAAGATGCACTGCTCTCGATATACAGGAAAACAACAAAGTGTTGATGATTCCTCATCAACAAAATGCAGAGTCAATATGCAAACACTCTTTTTTTATGATGCATCATGTGGAGTCAATCAATATCTACGTTTACAATGACAACACGTAAGTATTTTACTGTTTAAACACTCGTCAAGTAATAAGTTGAGCATATTTTTACTCAAGAATAACATTGCACTCGAGTACAAATCAAATATTAAATTAAACGAGTAAAGACAAATGCTGGATGGATTATTTACTTAATGAAGAATTAATTATTTTTAACCTTCGGAATTTCTTTTTGTTGCATTGATCCTCAATTATGGAGACGATGCAGGTGTCCATATTTAATAGCTGACGAGATTCTGACGGGAGGATGGAAAACAATTAAAATTTTTCCGGCGGTGGGGTCTCCAATTCTCCGAAGAGTTCTCCGCTGTACAATTCGGTCCAAAGTTTCATGCGTTTTACGAACTCTTCAGGTTCGTCGATGTTTTTCGTTTCAACGCCAATGGTGTAAAAGTTTGGTTTGTCAGGATTTTCCAATTTTTTCCACTCCTTCGCTTCGCCCCAGGTTTTGGTAGGTTTTCTAGTGAGTAAGTAATAATAAATTGTATTGTTTGTTGAATTAGTCTCTGCCGTCAGTGGTCGCGGAAGCCGTGGGGACATCTGGGGACATTAACAATGTAGGATAAGGGAGGGAGGGGTCTATATAAGATGGGCAGATGATGGGGGCAGTGGCCCTCTGTCCCCACGCTTCCGCGGCCACTGGTCACTGCAATATTAATAAAATGCGTTTACCCAGTTTCGAAAAAGGAAACCCACAATTTGACCAGGCCGGTCGAAAGTTTGTATTCTGATTCGGTCGACTTTTCCTCCGTAATCTCCGGATACTTGAGTTCTTGTCCGTTGAAGAGATATTGCATATCGTCCAAGTGAGCTAGTCCTGTAAATAAAATGAACAATTAAAGTCCCACTCATGATTCTGTAATGTAATATTTTCGCAAAATGTTTTATGTACCACTTGTAATGTTCGGATATCCAAAAGCCTCCAGAATAATGTGATGCTCGGGATTATGACTGAAATAGTATGGATACACGGATGCATATTTGCTAAATTTTTTTGCAGTGTAACGCGTCGTAGATGCGAAATATCGATCCGTAAACATTTTTATGAGCGTTTGTCCGTCCAAAGTTTTCCCTTCGCCTTCACCGACATAGTGGTCCCACAATTTCTTCGCTACGGCAGCAGGGTCCTTAGCGGATGACTTAAAGTCCAGAATTATTGGGCCAAACTCGATCCAATTGTTGCCGAGTTTCGTCATTTTCTCTGTACTGTTGACCACCTCTGGAAATTGGGACAAAATTTCAATACTGAAAAATTTAAAATTTTACAAAATTTTTACAAGATCTTACTAGCGACGAATGGTAATAATCCATCATGGTCTACAGCTCCCAAAATTACTGGTACTTTATTCACCACCTTTTCCTCAGTGGTCAAAAGTTTATACGGTGAATCCGCCAAGACGACATCATTTTCCGTCTGTCCTTCCAAAACTTGTTCCACGGACGGGCCAAATCTTGCGATTTCTTCCAAATCACTCCCTTCTTTCTCTGGATCGGGCATTTTCATCTTTTTCAAAATTTCCAGGTGGTCCATCCCCTTCAAACACATGACGAGATTCTCCCCACTGTCGATCGGACATCCAACCTGTTCCCCTAACTTCTTGGCTTGACTTATCGGATCTCGAACCATGGAACAAGGACTGAAAGGACTTCCACTCTGAACGACAGCCCCATGAATGAGACCCTTGCTTAAAGGGTTCACCAAGTGAAGAACTGTTTCCGCAGCGCCGGCGGATAATCCGAGCAGCGTAACGCGAGCTTTGTCCCCCCCGAATTTTTCTATGTTCAAATTCACCCATCTCAAGGCATGAGATTGATCTTTGATTCCCATATTTCCTTGAGCGTACATGTGACCAACGTTCAGAAAACCGAACGGTCCCAGACGACTGTTCAGCGTGACCATTACGACGTTCTCGTCCATGAAGTATTTCGGTCCGTAGATTTTTCCAGACCCGTGGGTATGACCGCCGGGGTGGAGCATGACTACGACGGGGAGTAATATTTTGTCCTCGCCTTCGGTTGGGAGCTGTAAAAAAATTTGAATTGCTGAAATTTATTCTTAATTCGAATCAAATTTTAATCAGTTTTATTACACTTGGAGAAAAAACGTTCAAATTTAAGCAGTCCTCTTCACCAAAGAACTTCTTTGAGAGTGGTTCATACTGCGGGCACTGGTTTCCATATTCCGTCGCGTTTTTTATGTCTTCCCAATGATCGGGAATTTCTGGAGGCTGAAATCTTTCCGGGGCCTTGGCGTAGGGGATGTTTTTAAATTGGTAAAACATTTTCCCCCCGCGAGATAAATCCGTGTCACCTTGAACTTTACCGTAATGCGTGTCAACAATGGTGTTATCGACATCTTCTTGTCCTGCTACTACTGTAGTAGCAGCTAAGACCAAAATCAAGGCCAACCTCATTTTTTGCTACTCTGTTAAATTGGTTTCAAAATAGCAAAATATTTAATATTTACAAGTTATTATTTAGTGAAGACCTGGAGAAAAGTGATGTATAGGTACCGGCCGGGTTCTTTTATACCCCTGGAGAATTCAGCAACACACCACATTTCTTGCACCCCTGGAGAGCAAGAACGCAAGGTCGTTCGTTTGATTAATATGGAAGAATTCTGGAGAAGAAATAATTGGAAATAGAGGTCAATAGGACAAAGTTGGGGCAAAAAATACTTCTCCGCTGACAATTACGTAACAAAATTTGTATCTATCTAGTCGCTGCACGTAGCAATATTATCATAACGAATTTTATGGAGACAATGATTTGCATCTTTCTTTACAACTTGAGACGAGGTGTTGTTTTGTATTGGAAATATACTTTGTTGTGAATCACAACTTGTGATTAGCAATTTGTTTCCAATTTTAGCTTCCAAAGCGTATTTGTGAGATTGACTTTAATTAAATTCGTATTGAGTTTTTTGCTCATTATGTTGCATCATCATCTTCATGATGTGTATTGTTCCTTTGTTTTGATATAATCACCACCAGCCACGCCTAATGTCATGGACCCTTAATTGCGACACAGTAATGCATAAATTCAAAATTGACTCATTAACTGCTTGCCACTAGAAATATGCAGTATGAACAAGATAAGAAATGAAATAAGTGCAAAACTAGGCTTCATTTATAATACGAATAAATATTTATTCTTAAATTTATGCCAATTTGTGAAAAATGAACAATTATCTAAGAAAAAATATTTTAGTTGATGTGCACTTGGACGGAGACGCAGATCTCGACAAGTCCAGAAGCGTCGTTGGAGATCTCGGCACGGACTGGAAGGGTGTTTCCAGACAAGATGCTGCAAAAACAACCGCAGAATTACATACTGAATTGTACATAATTAATTTAAATATCAAATTATTTAGTACTCACTCGTTGGGGGTGATGGTGAATCGGACGGTGTACTGGACTCCTGGTTGGACGGACGAGTTTTCAAGAACGGCGTCAATGATGCTGACTGGGAATCCGAGGTAGGTGGCGGAGACCTTGAGTCGGAGGGCAGCGGCGGCAGTGCTGGTGATCAGGTCACCCTCACAAGCATAAGGAGTTCCCGGGGTCATGTAACAAATGGCTCCCTCACAGTTCGCGATCCTACAAATTTCAGATAAGTATGTTTTAAACACAGTTTGAGGTATATACAGTTTTCTGGAAACTTAAAATGCCCTGAGAATGCTTACCTCATTTCTCTGAAGGTGCCAACCCCACCGCATCGGGTGTGGCTAACGACTCCAGCGGAGGCAGCAGCAATGCACAAAGCAAGGACGAGAAGGACCTTCATTTTTGTGATTGATTCTCTGTCGAGGATCTACGAAATGTGAGTTAATTGAAAGGTTTAAAGCAGCAAGCTGAATATGAAGGCAGACCTTCTGCTTTTTATACCTCCATTTTTTTAGGCATATCATCAGGGAAGGTTGGACATTATCATCTCAGGGAAGGCTGGATATCATCATCATCGTGCAAAGGTACGGCTTATCTGCGACAATGGAATCCCGTGCTGCTGCTGGAAACATGATTCTCAAGTTGATGAAATGCCGTTTAATTATTACTGTAGGTATATACATAATAGGAGCTTGATTCACATTAATTATAATGATAAGCGCTCTCAATTGTGTTGGTAATCCCAAAAACCACAATAAAACTCAAAACGATGATGACGACTCGGTGATTATTATGACTCTTTCGAAATAAGTACACAATTTTTTGCCCTTGATTTTCATCCTGATACCGCCGGCAGTTTTGCATATATTGCACAAAATGTAAACATGTAATTTCGAAATATGAAAATAAATCGTCATTAATTAGAAGCAGCTGCTGCAGCCAGTCACGTCCATGTCAAGTGTTGTTTTGGCCATTGGATTTACGTAGTTCAAGTAAATTACGTGCATGGCACCTCATTGTCCCAGTTTTGTGACGCATTTGTGAATGTGTTTATATATTTTTCATAATAAATCTGGTAGCCGTCGAGATTGCCGTCGGATTAAACTTTGACGTAGGCGGTACGAACGAATTTTATACTTGAACTTTGTTTGAAATTGGAGGATTAGAAGAAATATATGTAACGTGGAAAAGAATGGTTTTATTATTTTATTGCTTCAGTAAGTCCGCAGCTTCCAGCGATGACACAATCAACTATATTTTGTATTTGTTAAGAGCAATGGCCGCTGAAGCCGTGGGGACATGTGGGGAAATTAACATTGTAGGATAGGGAAGGCAGGGGTTTATGTAACATTGGCAGAGATGGGGACCTCAAATAACCGTGGGGACATTGTCCATCTGTCCCCACATTCTGCGGCCACTGGTTAAGAGCGTGTATCCGATACACTGTAGGTCAAGTAGTATGCTATCGACGTCGACGTGTAGTGGGTAAAAATTTATCTGCGTCAAAAAACTTGACCGTCATGTTCAAATTTGTAAGGATTATCTTTTTTATTAGAATAAAATAAAGTCATGTATGACACTTTTAACTGAGCCAAGTAGGCCTTGGTTTTTGCATTTTTAATCCGAGTCAGGGAATACCTTTCGATATTTCTATATAGTGGACCAATGAACCAATGATTTGATGACAAGCTTGCAATTACATAGTCTCAAGTGCGTACTTGTATACACATTCCACAATGAGTTCAATTGGGTATGCTCAGTGTTTGGCCGGTGAGAGAAATTTACATATGTGATCAAGGTGCAAATTTTATAAATTATATCACCGTTCTTTAGCTGACCTTGCAGGTCAAGTCTTTGAATACTTTGAATGATAAATACTGTAATACTTTTAGACCTGCGTAGACCTACATTCATAATCAAAGTAATATGATCGGATATTCGAATCCCTCGTAAATAGTACTTTTTAACCAGGTAGTAACCAATTTGATGCAATTTTTTATGCGATGACAGCATTCGGTGCCACACACCTCAGACATATCCGTCCGTAGTAGAGATTTTGCCAACCCACCAACATCGGGTTTTCCTCTCAAGCTAACTAATAAGTGTATTTTATATTTTATAAATGCATTATTCTTATATAATTTTTTTTACTAAAAGTGAGAGTTGCAGCTTTTTCGCATAAAACGAAAAAAAACCTCCAGTGCAACCTCATATAGCCCGAGTCAGTGTGTTTAGATAATGTTTCACTAAATTATAATCACAGATACCTAAAAAAAATTTCTGTTAAAAATTGAGTCCTAATTTCTTCGAATGAAGGATCGTGGGGTTTTCGTTTCGATGAGTTTTCCATACAATTGTAAAGACAATTGAACCTCAACTACAAGCAGGCCGCATGTCAATGCAAACCAAACAGTTCTGGAATCAATAGCGTGTAAAAAATGTAATTTCATAAACCATTGTTACTATACTTTGCTGTAAATATGTATATGAAATTTATCCAGTATTATAATAAGATTCACATTGCACACATTTCGAGTAAATTGTGGTTAAATAAATGCACAAGATTTTGAGTTTTCAAGGAACGCAAAAGCTCATAGTTTTTGCAACCATTTTAAACTACATATTTTGCATGGCAAGTAAATTGACAGTTATTTTACTGTGTTTTACATACGTATCATTTTTTTATATCTTATCTCAAATGAAACATTCAATTTAAGAGAAATGAGGAGTGTATCTGTCCCAATCGAAAACTTCCCAAAACATTCTTAATGTGTGGCTATGAAATTAAGAAGATTTACCCTAACGCGTCTTGCGGAATGGAGGTCGTTTATCGGTGCGAGAAAAATGGGACTAGAGTTGACCACGCATGTGAAACCAGAGAAGCTTACTGTGGAATAAACCCTGTCAATACTTGTTTGCTATATCCCAAAGATCCGAAAAAATGTATCAAACATAAAAGGATCCGACATTGTTGGAACTTTGGCTATCAAAGAGCAGATTATAACAGTTCCATGCAGCAAATGAAATCTTATGGTTTCTACTAAATCAACTGTATTTGAACCTAACATTATGCAATATCACTAATATCAGTAATTTTTTGACAGTGAAACATGATAGCAAAATAATTAAGTAGATATTATTATTTTAATATTCATATATTATCATGCATTTTCGCGTGACAATCCTCATTCAAATTTTATGTGCACAATCTTAAAAATTATTATTTTTTAACTTTTAAAAAATAAATGTCGCATGTAAATACAATTAGGATGCAAGTCTACACTTTGAATTAGCAAGAATATCGTTGATTAAAATGGGGAAAGCATTGCAGAGGGTAGCAACATGAAACCAACGCCACTCCATGCAAACTTAAATTTCTAGCGAACCGATGCTTGTCCTCAGATTGATTGACATCTTAGCTAAATGATAATCACGATGACTATTTGGAACCAGTCGTATGTGTCTCAGCATGGAAACTTCATGAAATGTATTAGTTGACACTGCTCCTTATAATATTCCACAAATATATTTGCATACGTGACTTGTTGAATACATATGAAAGCAAACGCATGCATATGTATATTAGTGCACGTTTAAACGGCTTTTTGTAACATTCTTCAGCAGACTCTGTTGTAATATATATTAGTCTACGACAATTGAATTTTGGATATACGAAATATATACGCAATGATTATGAGAATGGATTGATTTTTACAAATGCGTGTATAAACCATTCTAAATGGACCATTATATAAGTAATATTTAATTATGAAAAGGTTCTAGATTTTAATTGTTATTTTAATGACTTCCTTAATTGCATTTTACAAAAGTTGCACTTGCATATCTAATATCAGAAAATTTGCCTAATTTCTGACTTTATGTATGTATTTAGGTCGTGTGGCATCCTAGATCCCAGGGAATTTAGATGCTCGGAGAAATTTAATCCATCTGGATTTCTGGTCAACCTCAAGGGCTGTTATCATGACCCGGTCATGATAACAGAGGACCAAGGATACTCCAATCGAAGAGACAGCAATTAAAAATATTTGTAACACGCCCAATACAAAATGGTGGGTCGAGGGTAACCGATGCTTCAAGATTGTCGGTTGTCGTTAAAAGTTGAAATTTAATATAAAGAAAGATACAATTATGTATTGGAGCTTGATTTATGAGAATGGTGGAAAATAGTATGTAAGACTAGCGTATAAGCCCGTCTCCCACCGGGCGAGAGATAATTAGATTATCCAAATCTCACCAGTTAAACATTTTGTAGATATTTATTTAACAATTTGACGCCAACGGAAGTGAAAGCAATTTGCAACGAAAGTTAAAGTGGAAAATTAAATGTCACCCATTTGGCTCAGTTATCTCTGCCAGCCCAGTCTGCAGACTTTTGCTTTTCTGCCACATCAGATTGCCTCCGATACTGCCAGGATATTATGTTGGCATATTTCTGTCCGCCTGGGCCGACTGGCTAAGAGATTCCAGATAACCAACATTAGGCCGCCACACCTCGATAACCCCCATCAGGCAGCAACGACCCCATAACCCCATACGGCAGCTAAGCCTCTATAACCTCCATCAGGTGCCACGCCCCGATAGCCACCATCAGGCCGCCACTCCTCGATAACCGCCATGACGGAGCAACGCCCCGATAACCGCATATCATTAGGCAACTTATAACCACCACCAGGCCGCAACATTCTGATAACCACCACCAGACCGCAACATTCGGATAACCATCACCAGGCCGCAACATTCTGATAACCACCATCGAACAATAACGACCCAGCAACCTCACATTTATTTTTAAAATTAAGATTTTTGAATTTTAGCGCCATTCGAAATTTAACTTTCCCTGCTTTCACTTCCGTCACGGAAAATAACTTTCACTTCCGTTGCCAAAAGACATTTCCAGCTTATAATATAGATGTTACGTAATTTTCCAAAATGGCAATAGATTAATTAGTCTACAGTGCATATTGGATTTTTTAGAATATTAAATTGTTAGAATTGACGGGTTAAAAATTTGATCAAGCCATTCACAATATCAGTTTCCGCTACTAAATTTCACATTATCTCCTCATCTTTGATTTCTGAACTTTCGCAATAAATTTGTGCTTCAAGCAGAGCGGTGTATGAGTTGTGTGACAAATTTTTGTTTGAGTTTATACTTGTTAGTTTTGCTGTGATTCAAGAAAAATTATGTAAATATATGTAAATATTTCTTGACCTAAACATAACGGTAGAATCAATAAAATCATGTTAATAGGTCTCACGAAATTGTTTGCAGTAAAGGTTTTTGAGTTAAAATAAACTGGTTTAATATTCTCACCTTTAGAATATTTTCTTCAAGTAATCTATGTACGTACAATTGACTGATCCACATCATTGCCCAGTGACTTTTACACAGGTAGCAACTGTCCAAATTCCCTGCATTTACAATAAAATCATCTAAATAACATTTGTTACCTGACTTTAGATTTTACTTCATATTTTTACAGGATTCATCATTTAACAATTTTTTATACAAATGACAAAGAACAAAAATATTTATTTACTAAAATGCTAGAAATTCAGAAACCATTTATATAAACAGGTAAACTTACGTGCTTGTACAAATTCCTAGGAATTTGTAGAGAATAATTTCTTGCCTGATTAGACACATGTAACGCTTCGGGCGGCTTTGGATTTCTATAAATTAGAGAATTAATTCAAATTCACAACCAATAAATATGGGTAAATTAATACCTGAATTTCTGATTTTTTTAGAATTTCCCGAATTTTTCGTTTTTCAAATTCCGACTCAAGGATTTTTCAAGTCCATGCATTTCTGGGCCCGACACCGATTGGTCAAAGATTCCGTAAATGTTGGTCAAGTTAGATTTGTCCAATCGCCGCAGAGTATACAAGGTATTTATTTCGAAGAATAAACAAACTTATAACTGAAAATTAATTAAAATTTGTTAAATGAAACCAATCAGATTTATTAGCTGATCAGTATGAGCAAATTTGAGTGTGAGCTCTTCACACCGTAATCCTAAATGTCGACGAATTAACAATGAGTCTACTATGTACTAGAAATAATTAAAATTAGAGATCAATACGACAAAGGTGGGACAAGAAAACTCCAATCAATACATACTTTTATCTAGTCTACTCGTATTTATAACATCGCATTATCATAGTCACATTAATGACATGAACAAAAATTTAAATCGATTTGATTCTTCTCAACTTGAGACGAGATTTTGAGGTCATTGAGGAGATTTGATATTCCAAAGTTTTTCATGCATATATTGAAAATGTGTTTGTGCACTGCGATTGATGCCAAAATTAATATTAATTTTTTACATGAATTATGAAGTACAACACCACTTGATTGATAATACGAGTAGATATTTATTCGTTTGAATTTATGCCAATGTTTGAAAAAGGAAAAACAAAATAAGAGTAATATTTGGTAATATTTTTTAGTTGATGTGCACTTGGACGGAGACGCAAATCTCGACGAGAGTAGACGCATCGTTGGAGACCTCGGCACGGACTGGAAGTGTGTTTCCAGACAAGATGCTGAAAAAACACCCCCAGAAGAATTACATAATGAATTGTATATACTTAATTCAAATACCAAATTATTTAGTACTTACTCGTTGGGAGTGATGGTGAATCGGACAGTGTACTGGACTCCTGGTTGGACTGACGAGTTTTCGAGAAGGGTGTCAATGATGCTGACTGGGAAGCCAAGGTAGGTGGCAGATACCTTGAGTCGGAGGGCGGCAGCGGCACTGCTGGGAATAATGTCACCTTCACAAGCATAAGGTGTACCCGGGGTCATGTAGCAGATGGCTCCCTCACAGTTCGCGATCCTGCAAATTTCAGATAAGTATGTTTTAAAACACAGTTTGAGGAATGTACAGTTTCCAGGAAATTTATAATTGCCCTGAGAATACTTACCTCATCTCTCTGAAAGTGCCAACCCCACCGCATCGGGTGGTGTCAACAACCCCAGCGGAGGCAGCAGCAATGCACAAAGCAAGGACGAGAAGGACCTTCATTTTGGCGATTGATTTTCTGTCGAGGATCTACGAAATGTGAATTGATGGAAAGGTTTGAAGCAGCAAGCTGAATATGAACCCAGTCCTTCTGCCTTTTATACCAATTTTGGAGAACGCAATAATCAGGGATCGTTGGCTATTATCATCTTGCAAAGTTACGGCTTATCAATGGAATCCCGTACATGCATACGTACAAACATGAGTCTAAAATCGATAAATGCCGGCCAATAGGTAGTAGAAACTTGTTTCGTAAGAATAGTACATATGCATGTATGATAAGCCTGGTACATGGTAATCCCAAAATCCCCAATAAAATTTACCTACTGGAAATGATGATGCGATGATTACGACTCTTTCGAACCCAATTTTTTCCATTTTTCCCAATCTTCACATTTATTGAGCCATTATTTTACGAAATGCATATGTACATATTGCAAAATGTAAACACACTTAATCCATAATTTCGAAATATGGAAATCATCATTTTGGCTGCAACGCATTTTTGTGGGTATCAAAAATTTGGATAATTGGCAACGTAATTGCACCTCATTGTCCAAATTACATAACCAATTTCAATCAGTGCATTTACATATTTTTGTAATAAATCCCGTAGTCTGGATTGCCATTGGATTAAATTGATTGAACTTCGATCCAGTCATTACAAAATCTTTACTTGAACTCTGCTCGAATTTGAAGAATTATAAGCAGGACTGATTATTTGAAAATGCTTTTTATTATTTTACTGCTTCATGAAATATATGACACAATCAAATATATTTATTTTGGATTATCCAAATATTTATGATAATCGCAGCATGCATTCGATACGCTGTATCGCGATTATCTACCAGTTAGTAAAAAAATCTTTAGCGCCCGCAAACCTGACCGTGGAGAAATTCAGTTTATGGCCGGTTTATAATACGGTATTCATTATGAAACTTTTTGCATAACGGGTTTCTAAAAATAGTTTGATAAAAGATATGAACTTATCAAAGTGAAGGATGATTAATGCTTATTAATTACACTACTTCAATTAACTCATGGATGATGTTATTGGGAACAAATTGCTGAAATTCTGCACATGCAAAATCAGCTCAAAGCAGCTACCCACCAGATACGTGGAGAACAGTTGTGCAAAAATTAGTGAGCAATAATATTAAATAATAAGCAAGAAAGTGAAGGAAAGGGATTTCCCCCATAAAACATGACATGTCAATGGTGCAAAATTCCCATCAATTTAAAAATTACGTCTGATGACACCAATCGAACCATGTAAATTGATTACATAGAACGATGACCAAATTGATCGTATCATAGAAAATCCAGTTGTGCATCCATCATATTGGACTTGCAGAAATGGGACGATATCGCGTGATAAGATTATCACCGTGAAGGCTTCCAGTCCAGCACTCGATTTTTGCACTTAGAATGTCCTTATTAGTTGTTAGTTGCTTTATACACACCTGGGAAAAAACATACAAAACAAGCAATGCGATCTGATTGGTCTGAATTTAGTGTAAAACATAGCGTCTCAGAAATAATAGACTTGATTTATTTTCGAAATTAATCAAGAGTTAATAAGAATGGAAAATTATTGGCGAAATAGATTCTGCACTAATAATAATTTTTGCATGATTTTCTCGCAAAAAATCGCACAATCGACATTTTAATCTTACAATTTATCAACTTTTTGAAAAAGAGAAAACTTAATGATTTTTTGACATTTTTTTGTCTGCAAAATTACCTACGACGCTTCCTGATCCCTTAGCTCACCAAATGTAAATGCATGCACATATGTATGTGGCTGAGATCGACGGGAAAAGTTGCTAATTCTATAAAATCTTTTCAAAAGTTTAACCAATCTTGATACACTCGAATGTAAAAAAATATACCTAATTAAACTTTCCAGACTTCCTGAAAGTAACATCCGAAGTGACAGGCTTTTCACACTTTTTCTCATTTTTACCAAAAAATGAGAACATACATACCAAAAAATAGCACAATTCTCATTTTGCATTTCACACAATACTCTAATCCTAAAAAATTTCACTATTTGTATTTGAATGCTGTCTCCTTCCTATCTATTCATCAAAGTCCCTCGCGACTGTGTAGCACAGAATAAATATATCCCCACTTTCCTCCCCGATATCTCCCTGCACCTATATTTGTATGCTCTCATGGATAAAAATAGATCAGCCATCTTGCTGATGACCTCGGTCGCTCAACCAGGTAGTCGACGTCGAGTATTTGTTAAGCCATGGGAGGCAGGCAGGCAGAGAGAAAGTTGGTTGGGATGGATGAAGGAACGGAGAGAAAGTGTGCCAGGCAGGCCTCTGGGGAAAGTCTCACTTGAATAACAATTCACCTCAGGAGCACCAACCAGACCCAAATTCCACATCGATCCACGTACTCGTACTTTCACCAGAGTACGAGATGCATAATGTTGGCTGAGGTCTCGTCGGCTTGTTTGTTGGCCAGCGATATATTTTCATTTCATGGTTTGGTTTACTTTTTAAAAGTACACACACATACGGAGGTTTCTACCACCGTGAAATCATCGAAACCAGATCTGATCTTGTGTACATATTCAATGTGATCACCGTTTACTTACTCAGTGGCCGCAGGAGATGACTGTGGGGACATGAATTTTCCTGAAAATTTAAGAAATTTAGGAAAATCAAAATCTAGCTGATTGTTACAAAATGACTTTGAAATTATGATTGTATAAGGTCCATATTTGTACTTCAGTCCCGTGGGGATCAATGCGTTACAAGTCCCCACGGCAAAATTCCCATGTCCCCACGGCAAAATTCCCATGTCCCCACGGCAAAATTCCCATGTCCCCACGGCAAAATTCCCATGTCCCCACGCTTCCGCTGCCACTTTCATACTTGGCCCAGAATCAGGATCCATCTCCCAAAATAGAAAAGCAGATTCATCATACGTTCGAGCCGGCCATGGATTAATGACCAAGTTCCCGAGAGGAAAGGAGAAAGCAAACAATAATAATAATAACCACTCGACTTTCTCTTTCCCGACCCCACCAAACTTTTATCTCGTCCTGGTCTGGTCTGGTCACTCGTCTAATGCTTTAATCCCCTCCGATGATCCCCCTCATCAAGGAGACCAAGAAAGTCGCACCGCACATTTTCCCCCAAATTGACGTCACTTTATGGACGTGATGGATCAGAGAAATGGTAATGAGACGAGATCTTCTCTGCGTGAAAACAATAATAAATAGAATCGAACCCAAAAATAGAATTATTTTGCAGATAATAATAAATTCTTTATTTCTTCATCACGTAAAAAGAGCTCTTTTTGTTCAGGCGAGGTACTCACAAGTAAGACTCGAGTAGTCGAAGAGAAGGTAAGGTAACAAAAGAATAAATACACTTGTAACACAGATTATTCGATAAAAAAGTTGTAAGCTCAGACTCAAAACTCGAAACACAAACAAACACAACAGATAGCAGTGATTTTTCGGAAAAAAAACACAAGCAAGCAAATTATTAACCGTAACAAATAGTCAAATCCAACAGGTCGGACAGAAGAAGATATTTACCAATGGAAAAGAAAGAGTACTACATTTGAGCAAAATTTACACTAAAAAGTGACTCGAGAACGGGAGGGGGTTAAATAATAATATTTGATGTTTTGGGGGTGGGGGGGAATTTAAAATAGTTTAATAGGCATATTGAGCATAGGGAGATCCGAAGTTGGTGGAAACAACGGCACCACCGTAGCTTCGGGCAATTGGAGCGGCGAAAGCTGGAGCAGCTCGGACGAGGGCGGGTTGAGCGGCGTAAGCGCGGATGGCTGGGGCGGCATAAGCGGCAACAGCGGGTTGAGCGTAGGCGCGGATGGCGGGTTGAGCATAGGCGACTGGGGCAGCTCGGACGACGGCTGGGGCGGCGTAGGCGACTGGGGCAGCTCGGACGACGGCTGGGGCGGCATAGGCGACTGGGGCTGGGGCAGCGACGACAGCCTTGGTCACAGCTGGGGCAGATCGGTCGACGACGGCGTTGAATCCGTTGACGGGGTCAGCGGTGTAGGTGACGGTTCGGATGGCACCGTCAGGCTCGACGAGGGAGTATTGTCCCTTGACGACATCTCCGTCACGGGTCTCGGAGGCGGTCTTGGAGTCACCGGTCAAAGCGTCGGAGACGGAGTATCCTGATGAAATAAGGGGGTAAATTAAGTTGCTGTATTTTTTAGGGACAATTTCCTACTCACCGTAGTTGTATTGTGGGTGGGGGTCGAATGGTTCGGGTTGAGCGACGACGGTCTTGGCGACGAGTGGGGCCTGGTAAACGGATAAATTAATTGTTTAATGGGAGTCGATTAATGGATAATTAGTTATCCTTCAAATGCTTACAGCAGCAACTCGGGCAATTGGTTGAGCATAAGCCAAGGGAGCGGCAACTCGGGCAATTGGTGCCTATATTAATTTACATATTTAATACTAATTCACCCCCCAAATTTCACACTCCACAAACTTACAGCATAAGCTGGGGCGGCATATCCGGCGTATGCGGGGGCAGCGTATCCTCCAGCGTAAGCGAGGGGGGCACCAGCGTTGCAGGCAGCAACGAGGGCAAGGAAGACGGAGACCTAAGTAATTCAATTTTCGGTTAGTTTCTTTTCACAATCTCGGAGGAACTTATTTTCTCAAAAACCACCATAAATTACAAGATGTACAAGATTTTACCTTGTACATGATGATTATGTTTTTCTACTTGATTAGTTGGTACTGATTAGAAGAGCTCGATTGATGAACTGATGCCATGTTCAGATCAGGCCCACCGTTTTATAGTCCTCGCCCTTAAAGTTCGCATCAGGCAGGTGTAAATAAAATGGATATTCAATAAAATAGAGTAGAAGATCAACTTGTGAACAAATGGATCGCCAATTTTTTTCATCATTGGTCATTCATAATGGATTGTTGCCAGAATTCCACCACCACCAATATGCATACCTACCTGCATGTGAATCCATCATTCATTGTGGTCTATTGCACTCCTCCATACATCGCCGTAATTGGGGCTATTGTTGTAGTCGATTGTTGTTACACTTGAGTCAGTGTACAGGGTGTGACCCCAGATGCTGCTTCCCATCGTCCATTCTATTCTTGCATAAAAGATGTGACCAAGGCGAGACCCATGTCTTTACTTTTGCATACCACGACGAGCCAGATAATCAGACAAGATCATAAATTTTCAGTGTCACCAAGTCAAAAAAGATGATTCAATCGGCTGCATTGTTGCAGAAATTAACAAACTTATGATACAATATTGTTTGCAAATATATATGGAACATTTATTTACGTAAAAGGTGATCTAAATATTGAAATTGTGATTTTTTTAAATGATTATTTCTGTAGTTCAATTTTGATCGAGTTTGGCGAAATCGTGAAGGTTATTAAATCGTTGGGTGGTAATTTATGCGTGTTATTTTATATTTGGACAAATTTTCGCCGCGCCTAGTAAAATGCGATCCATTTCCTCCATAATTTTGTACCATTTAATATGATACATAGATATCTTAAATATGCTCCTGTTTTTTTTTTTTGCTTAAACACCTTCAGGAAGTAATTAATTGGAGCACAATTTGAGGGATAAAATCGCAGTGAAAACATAAATAAAAGCTCTTTTTGATAGATAAGGTCAATGCCAACAACCAGAAACTGGACAAATAGGTTGTACTTTGTACTAAAACTAAATCTAGCAAAAAACTTCCCTCAGGTCGTGTCCTGTTTATAAGAAATAAAAAATAATGGATTTTTGTTTCGCCCAATTAAGCAATTTGTGTCGCTTTCTGGAGGTACTAAATTCTAATCAAGACATAAACGCAGACAATTTGCATGCATTATTTTACACAATTAAAAACATTCATAACCTTTAAATTATTCCAATTCCATAAAAGTGACACACCTGACCTTAAATTATTGATGAAGCATTGTCGCACAATTACTTGTGTAAAATGACAACACAAACCGGCATATGACATAACATTACACACCAGTGGCCGCGGAAGAGTGGGGACAAAGGGACAATGTCCACACGGTTGTTCGATGTCCGCATCATCTGCCCATCTTATATAAACCCCTGCCTCCCCCATCCTACAATGTTAACGTCCCCCGATGTCCCCCCGGCTTCCGCGGCCACTTGCGATGGCATGTGTTATTCAACCAACTAAATAACTTTTTTAATTTATTCAAACAATTTAAACTTGACTTGTTGAGTGGGGCGCATAAATAAATTACAGCATAATTTTAATCTCCACGTACTTATTTAAATGTGGGCAGTATTTAGAAGAGGCTTAAAATTTTATTTAACCCTCGTCCATCGAGCATCGATCCTTATTTAACTTGACAACAGTGTTGTAAATCAATGGCAAAATCACTGCTCAACGCAAAATATGGGGATGACGGGGCTGTGCTGTCCGTTAATTCATTATTGAACCAACCTGAAACAAAAGCGGTAACAAGTTGGACATAATTTCAACAATGTAACGACACATTTGACAATGGGTACAATAATGAGGGTGATGCTTGACGTTTAAATTTTGGTGGTGGTCGTCGATTGCTACGAGATGCTGCAATTATTCGACTATCCATCCATCCACCACAATTAAATGGATAACGTATTATGTGAGATGAGAAGAGCAACAGACCTTCACCACTTGTTTTGGTTATAAAATGAGACAAATGAGTATTATGGATGACGCAAATAATATACATAAGGACCACTTTAATTACTTTAGAAGTCGTTGGGTTCCCCTTTTTCGAGTAAACTTGAACTGATTGATTGTGGTATTAAATTTAATTGGAATTGACTTTAAGCAGCATGTTCTAAGTAATTTTGGCTATAAAAAAATCTGTTGTTTCAGAATACCAAAGGCCAATAAAATTTTCCCTGCACCATTCCCTGACCGATTATGTAGAGTATTTACATACATCAGCGACAACAATCAACATCAGTAATGTGTCAAGATAATAATCGACCCTATGTTTTTGAACTCTAAGTTACCAAGTCCCCCTGCCCCACATTTGTTAAAATGTATACGTTTTTAATGCATAATTCCACCCTTAGAAAATTCTTCCCCTCCTCAAACCAGTGGCCGCGGAAGCCGTGGGGACATTAACATTGCAGGGGAGGGAGGGGTTTATATAACATGGGGAGATGATGCGGACATCGAACAACCATGGGGACATTACCCCTCTGTCCCCTCCAGCTTCCGCGGGCACTGCCTCAAACAACTATTTATTAAGTAGCGTCAGCTACTTATTGTGATCGCTTTGTCCGTCCGTCCGTCCGTCTGTCTGTCTGTCTGTCCGTAAGCAGGATATCTCCAGAACGAGTTGACATAATCAAACCTCGTTTTCGGCATTGTTTTTCTAATTTTTAGTTCTCGGTCAAGTTCGAAAATGGGGTCAATCGGATCACACCCCACTGCGCCAGGGGGTGTGGTCCAGATTAAATTTAACTTTAATTTTCATATGGGGTGTCATTTTAAAGGAAATTCCACCGCAAATTCAAAGACGTTAATATTTTTGACCTTATGACCTTGACGACGAGGTCAAAGGTTAAAAGATACGTAATTGTCATATGGGGTGTCAATTTAAAGGAAATTTGACTACGATTTCAAGGACGTTAATATTTTTGACCTCATGACCGTTAGGACGAGGTCATATACGGAGAAACGTGTTGGATAAAATGATCTAATATTAGGTATTTAGGTTAGCTATTTCAAGTAGCTTTTCATAACGGATGTTTATGGCACCGACTTTATTGGACCTCTGTACAGTGTCAGCTCATTCTTAGCATTCCCATTCTTGGGAGTAGGATTTAGCACTTCCTTTCTATTTAGGTCAGACACTTTGGAAAGTGTCGTGAGGAACAGTTTCATACATTTATTAATACATATTTTATTACTCATGATGTCTATATAATCATGTTGCATGTTGACAATAAATAATCAGTCGATTGGCAACCGTCGTGTTGTATCGTTGTTCATTATTTACCACAAAACGTTAAAGGAAACTGGAATCGCTCTGACGCTACTTATTTACATTCGTTTGGAGGGTTTATTTATTTATTAACCGCTGTGACCATTATCGATCAAATGTAAATATCTGTATCTCAAAGAGTTGCGATTATCTATCTATTGGGGGGATGAGGTAAGATCACAGCGAGGGTTCTGCACTTGATTTGATTTATATTTTATTTAAGGGGCCCATTGCATATTAAATAGTTCAATAAGCATGTGCACAGCACGTAGCCACCACGTGCGACAGGGCTGATAAGGCGACAACTGAGGTCACAATCGCACACACACACACATTATAATAAATTAATCCTACATAGATGGATGGATTGATAGATTGCCTGGCCTGCAGTTACCGTGCATCGGATCAATTTGATCAAGATGCATAACACACAAGAGAGGTGACAAGTGCAAAAGGAATAAGTGTGCAAATTCAACCTTGTCCTAACCCAATTCGTTTTTTGTTAACCTTTTATCCGACAAATTGGACAAAGCAGAAATTAAACCAAAATTGACAATAAAAAAAGATGAATCACGTGGCTGTCTCCTTAAAACTTTTGATTTCAGTAACATACGAATTATATAAGTTCGTCCTAAATATAAAGCCTTCGGCATTTGACGCACAAAAGTCGGTCACCGGTCCGTCGGTAGTAAAAGGGTTTGACTTCTTTGCTTAATGCAATAATCACTTGTGCTTGCAATATTTGAAAATTGAATTTGCAACAATAATAAAGGAGTGAATAAATTAAGCAAGCCGGATGGACTACGCCTTTTTCTGCAAGAAGAGTGACAAATATATAACGAAACGACACACAATAGAAAAATTCAAATAGGTGAACTTGATTGAAATGGTACGAATGTATCTAAATCTATTTCTTCAAGTCTAAACATTTACAATAATAATAAAAAATGATCCAGTTTTGCATTGCATGTTGTCATCAAGAAATAACATTCCTAATTTATTGGTACAATACTTATAAACGTGTAAACATGAGATAGGGGACAACAAAAAGTGGACAAAGTCAAGTCTAGACCCCAGACGAGAGGATTGCACAATCTGTAATAATTTGTAATCAATGATCTCCCATAAATGCGAACGAGTGTCCTTTTTTGTTTATTAAGGTGTGATTCGATAAAATCAAATCACACCTTTTGAAAATTGAAAATTATTACGATTTATTTAAAGATATAAATAAATAAATAGATAATAAAAAGACAACAAAATCTGGTCCAACCTTTTTTTAATGCATCGCAATTAATCGTATTAATCCATTTTAGACTCAAATAACATCTATTCAAAAGTTAAAATTATTGCAATAAAAATACGTAAATGTAAATTATTTATTTGAATTTTTGAAAAATTGTTATTTTAATTTTAAAATAAATAAATAATAAAAATATTGATACAAAATCTGGTCCAAATGCATCGTAATAAATCGTATTAATAAAAACATCAAATAAAAAAATATTAATAAAAAAATAAAATTATTACGATAAAAAACATAAATATAAATTATTTATTTTTATCAAATTTTTCAAATTTTTATTTTTATTTTTAAATAAATATAAACATAAAAATAAATAAATAAATAAAAGACTACAAAATCTGGTCCAAATGCATCGTAATAAATCGTATTAATCCATTTTAGACAAATAAGTGCAGTTGCGTGCAACCGTCTAATTAAACTAGGATGCAATTATCACCAGTATATTATCATGATTGGGGTTTGGGTATGTACGCACCTGCTCAGCTTGCAAATTAAGACAAGATCACTTTCAAGTGGCTGATTTACAAGAATGCAAATGCAAATAAAGTTGTAACAAAGTGAGTGATTTACTTGTACACAAGTTGTTTCGACAGAATTGAGTTGGATGTAATGTAAGTAAGTAAATCGTTAAATAAAAAATCAATCCAAAAGTGTAGACCACCGCACCACTCCCAAAAGTAATCCATTCTTCAGAGTGAAATAATTACATATTAATAATAAATTGGTGGAGTTTGTACCCCAAAAAATTATGCAACAACTGAATGAATCCTTTTAAATTCATGTCGTCTCCTTTTAGTAGGAATAAACTGGTGCAAACGAAATGTAGCGAAGGGGTGAAACCAAATAGGATTCCTCTTACGGAAAAACAAGAATTTTGATATTTTCGACCTTTGACATAGTCTACACTGTCGCAGGGTTATCGAACGTAGAAATGATGGTGATTTTTGAAATCCCTGCTGTGAATTACGTGGAAAACGGTCGAAAGTTAAAAAAAATCAGCATATTTGACCGTCACCATCGAGGCGCCGTGACCTTACGACCTCCAATTCCCATTTTCGAGCTTAACTCCACCAAGAATTAGTGAAGACTGCATGTCGAAATTCACATCCTTTCGAAAGTTATTGTGCATACGGACAGACGGACAAACAGACAAGGCATTCCCATAAAAGGGCTTCCCCTTTAATAACCACTGTTATAGAACATTTAATGGGATCTTATTATTATTAGTTTTGTTCCGCTGTGGCACGTTCTCTTATTGTCTTTTCTTTCCTTTATTATCTGTGATTGATCTCTAATCAAATCATTTAGAGTCGCGTTGCCTCACTAACTCATTCATACATAACAAAGTCGCATATACACGACTAAAACAAATATTTAACACTGTAGAGTAAATTATGCTCAAAAAATGGTCTAGATTAAATTGATCTATGTAAGGTGTGAAATGTGAGATAATTACGACAACAATTCATCAATTATTCGCATGAAATATGTCTGTGTCAATCTTCTTTAGGATGAAGTGGCGTTTTTTCGACGACGGCATTGAATCCATTTTTTGCATCGGCTACATATCGCACCGTCCTTATGACACCGTCCGGTTGGAGGAAACTGTAGCTTCCGGTGACCACACCACTTTTTGATTTTGTTTCCTGTGATGGAAATCAAATTATGAAAAGTTATGCAAATACTTATGATGAGAGCAATTTAGTAATTTAAGTTAGTAAACCGAGTCTATTATTCATGCAAAAAATTAATCACATTTCTGAATTTCTTTTTTGAAAAATGAAAATTCATTTTATTATTATTTTTTCTTACAGCACAAATAATAGGCTTGGCTTACACCGTTATGAAAATAATGTGTATTTATGTATGCATCCACAAACTAACAAATATTTTTTTACGCATATTTGCTGACCTGGACGCTTTTATAGTCGCTGGAAGCCGGACTGTGTACAGCGTAGGAGTAACTGTACTCGGCTGGAGGCTCCTCCTCCGCGACGGAGGGAGACGGTGGGTGTGGCAAGGGGGATGGATAGCTGGGTTTGGAATATTTGGGGTACTGGTGGCTATGGTAGGAGGAAGGGGAATGGTGGTAGCTGGGGTAATTGTAATGGTGGTACGCCGGGTATGAGCTGGACGGGTAGTGGGGGTGGTGGTGGTGATGTGGGTGGGACGGGTAGTGTCTAGAGTAGTGTGAATAGTGGGGATAGTGTGGGGACGAGTAGTGGGGGGAATAGTGATGTGGTGGGGGTGGAGGGGTCGTCGTAGTGGTCGTCGTGGTGGTTTGAGGTCCAGGTAAAATGATCTTCAGAGCGGTGGATGGTCCTTGATTGTTGGAATTTTGACCAGAGTTTGACCCCCCAGAGGAGGAAGAAGGACGTCTTGGTCGTGGGGGAGGGTAGTGCGATGGGGGAGGGGATTGTTGCTGTTGATTCTGAGATTGACCACCACCTTGTTGAATTTGGAGGAGTTTTATGATCGCATTTGCAGCTGAGGAGCCACCATTGTTATTATTGCCACCGTTGTTGTTTCCGGTTTGGGGAGGGTAGCGAGAACGTCCACCACCGCCGTTGTTCCCTCCCTGAAATTTGGGGGATGATTTTCGTATAAAAAATATGATTTGGATGAGAAAAATTGTGTCGATTAGATATTTTGTATACCTGTTGATTTTGAGTGGGTGGAGCTACAATAATGTAAACTCCGGGTTGCTGCTGCTGCTGTTGATTTTGGTTTTGTTCCTGATTCTGTGACTGGCCGTAAGGGTCTTGATCTTCATAGTCGTCGCCACCACTGGATGAACCACCTCCACCGCCGTTATTATTTCCTCCCCCAGAAGAAATGATGAGTGACACGGTTTTCTGTTGTTCCTGTTGCGTCGAATTTTCCGCTGGTGGGGGTGTCGGAGGTGGTGGTGGGTGGTAGGGATGGTGGTGCTTCGGGTAGCTGGGGTAATGCGGGTAGTACACGGCCAGCGTGGTTAGCGGTGCCATGCAGAGCAGCAGGGTCACGAGGGACTTGAAAAATCCCATGATTCTACAATTTTTTCGATGTAAGTAAACGGTTTTGAAATATTTTTCGCAAATTTTTCAAAAAATTGAGATTTTTTTTTGTTTTCCTTCAAATTGCTGTTACTGCTTCACTGCTCTGGTTCAACTGGGAAGTGGATAATTATTCAATAAAATTAATTCCTTTTTATACAAACTGATCGGGATCATCTTAATTGGTTTTCGATTACGCCATCACTCATTAGACAACAATTGGAAATTTGATCTACATTAAACGGCGGTGGTAGGATTTACAAGCACTTTACAAGCATTCGCAGAATTGCATTTATTTCGAAGAAGTATTTATTCTTCGTAAAGTTTGGGTTTGGATGGGAGGATCACGACTCCACGACTGACATCCCCCCGTCACTTTGACATCTCATCTCAATTCCTCCACTTTCCATTTCCTCGTCTTAATTCCCTATCAAATAGTAAATGATACCAAAAATGAATATCTTTAAGACTCAGGTTTATTATCGATACGACGACTCGATCAAAAACAAACGATTATTATGCTATGCTGCACATTAATTGTGGCATGTTTGTTTAGTGCAATTTTGAAGCCTTATCCGACTAAAAAGGATGTACCCGACTTGTCAAAGTCTGTTTTTTGCAGCGTGTGACTTTCGTTTGAAATTGGTGTCAAATTGTTGATGCAACTGTCAACCTAAATGACGCTATCATCCATCGGCAGCAATACAAATAAAATTAGATTCGTCATTTTTATACGTGATTTTAATGATGTGCGATTTACACCAAAAACAAATGCAGTTTTTGCAAACATGCTTTTCATACATATGTATTTATATATATATATTTATGCAAATGGACAAGGAAATCTTAAAAATAGAAACGCACATGTGAATATTGCGTTTGTTAGGATGACCAGTAGTAAGAAGAAATGTCTTATTATTTCTAAAAGTGAGAGTCTCATAAGAAAAAGGGTTGTAGGGTAGCATGTTACGTATCTTTATGAATAAGTTTAACCTTGCTGGTACCCTAAAATAGAACCCTGATCCTAGTGGAACTGCATATCTTTCTTATGTAAAAGGACCAGTAGGGAAAAGTGGCAACTGGCAAGGTCGGCCTTGTACGATCATCCCTTGTCTAACCTTCTTCCCATGATTTAAATCCGTACGAAAATAGTTTATTGGGTCAGATTCAGAAATTTTTCGTATAAAAGGCCAAGTCTCCAGCGGATTAGGTATCACATCTCCACTCCTACTACAACTACTCCTACAACAGGAAATCTCATCCTCCAAAACCAATAACTTCACCATGAAATCGGTAAGTTTTCAGGGGGGAAAATTTCTTCCAAAATTTCTGAAAAAAATATTAATATTTCCGAAATCCTTCCAGTTCGCCCTCATCGCCCTCTTCGTCGCTGGAGCCGCTGCCAACTATGGCTACTCCCAACCTGCCGTCCGAGTTGAGCCAGGTAACACACATTTAACACGATAAGCACACGATAAGCACAACATCATTGACTAATAATTAATCTAAATCCACAGTTTCCGTCTCATACGGTACCCACGCCCCGGCCGCGCCAGCCATGTCGTACGGATCATCCGCACCCGCCGCCTCCAGCTACGGGTCCTCCTCCTACGGATCCGCCACCCGCGCCGCTGCCGTCCCAATTACCAGTTTCAACCATGAAATCAGAGGCTCCGAACACTCCGCTCTTTCCTACGAGACCGGAAATGGGATTCGTATCACGGACAACACCCAAGTCGTTCAAGGCCGTGGAGGCAGCTACATGGATGAGTACGGAAAAATGGTCCAGTCCACCTCAACCCTTACCAAGAGCGGAGTCGTCTCATACACCTCCCCGGAAGGTCAACACATCAACCTCAACTGGGGTAAGCCAACAAAATAGAGAACTTTTTACAAACAAAATATTAGGGGATTTAAACCCTTGTGAATTATTTTCAAGATAATTGTGATTTTAAGTTAAATAATTTAATTTTAATTTTTTTCTCAGTTGCCGATGAACAAGGGTACCGTGCTCAAGGGTAGGTATTTAATTATTACAACTGCAACTAAAGTACCACTTGTAATTAATTACTACCACAGTTTAATTAATGTTTGTTCTCTTTCCCATTTTACAGAGACCATTTGCCAACCCCACCCCCAATCCCCGCTGACATCGCTGCCTCCCTCCGTGGCGCTTCTTCCTACGGATCAGTCAAATCCGGATATTAATTCCTTCGACGCCTCCACTACCCCCATCGACTCACTCTTCCCATCGAATAATTTTAATTTTAGAATTTTAACCCTTCTCCTGTATTATACAGCTATAGTCCCACCACAACAACAGTAACAATTTCGTACCACGGTACAGTTGTAAACGGATGAAAGCACGGTATTATAAATTTTGTAAAGAGAAAAAGATCTACTAATTTTTTTATTTTTCTAATCTGAATTACATATGTGGAAATCTGAAATAAAAATATAAAGTCGTAAAATCAAAAGTTTTTCCTGAAATTTGTCATAATTTTTGCATGCTTTTTACTCTTTTACATACATACGAGCTTCACTATTTATGAGGATGAGTCATCACTACAACTTGCGAGATTCCCTTTCTGATCAAACCTTGTTGCAAAATTTTGAAACTTTTCGCTTTGATGTCGTTCCTCGTTGGGAGTTTGTAGTCTTCGAGGTCTTCTTCTGCATGGGAAAATAAACAGAAAAAGTGATTCGGTTATTCTACTCGTTTTCCTCTAAATATGTATGCAAATGTATTTGACTAACCGTCCGAACCTTCCTCCATCGTCCTCACGGGAACGCGTTGACATCGGTCTGGAATTCGGTACGCTCTAATTCCTCCGGAAGCAGTAGCGCCCACGAATCCTCCACCTGACACCGTCATCTCTGACGCTCTTGGGTGCATGGGATGCTTACTTTGTCGTCGGTGGACATGTTGATGCTCGACATCGCTCTCCAATTTCTCTACGTCATTCACCAACTGTTCAACTTTGGTGCGAACGACTGGAAAAAGTTTCAACAAGTGGTCACAGTCTGTTATTTGATGACTTTTCTGGTCGTCTAATCTGTTCAGGATTCCAGACATTCCAATCCGAATGGAGTCGATCCTATCGCCGCATGTATTGATGATTCGTTGGGTGTGATTCCCCACTTTTTTTAGTGTGGTTAAATTGGAGTCGTAATCTTGGACGACTTTGGTGAAGCTGAAGATTATAAAAACTTATGTATTATTAATTCAAGAAATTTATGTATAATTTTTTTTGCGAGTTAAAATATTTACTCGGAAACTTCCTGATTTCCAGTGTAAGAAAGTTGGCGAAGAATCAGCATGAGTAAGTCTCTCTCTCGAACCAACTTATGTTTCAGCTTCTCTTTAATAACTTTTTCTTTTTCGAGATCAAGCCCAACTTTTCTCACGGTTTTAAATCTTAACGGAATTGAGTTGAATGGGACTCGCATGGTTTCCACTAATCTTGACACCCAGGCTTCCAACTCTTCAATTTCGGCCCGCTTCACTCTTAACCTGTACAAATTGCACATTATATTTAACAGTTAGGTAATTAAATACGTAAATGAACAACCTGTCATTAACACCACCGGTGGAAGCCAGGTCTTGTTGTAGGGTTGCAGCACTTATGGTTTTGCGTTCCAATGGGTTATATCCGGCGCGACGTCCGTTTGGAATCGTGGCGGAATTTTCGCTTAAAACTTTCTCCACTGCGACCTTAATCTTGCCCATTTGAACGCGGCGTTTCCTTCGATTTATGAGTGATTCCTTCTCAGTTAGTGCCAGCGTGGAAAATGCTTCGGATTCAAACTAATTTTATGTCATTACGTGATTAAATTTTTGGTAATTTATTTATTTTGAAATTTTGCTCCTTACGATGAGAGCATCGTCCAGCATATTCTGCAGGGTTCGCATCTCTTGCTTTTGATGTGCTAGTTGAGACTCCAGGTTGCGAATGACCGGAGCATACTTTTCCTCCTCGTCTCTCAACCTTTCTTTAATCTCGTGGTATTTCACGTACAAAAGTTTCGCAGTTTCCAGTTTGACTGGAATTTAAACAGCAAAAATTATAATCTTACTTAAACCCATGTTAAATATAATTCACCTTTCATCGAATCGATCGCTACCCCCAATAAATTTTCTTGTTTCATAATTTTCATTTCCCACGGGGTGCTGCCAGGTCGCGGCCATTTCTCCATTAACATAACAACCCTTTCCGCTTCTTGTAATCGGTCCCGTTTTGCAAATAAAGTGTCCACCAATCCATTCAATTGTTTGGCATGGTCGAATAATTTGTCGTCCAGCCATGCTTCGGCGAACTTAAGGGATTTACGATCAAAATCGGAAATTTACTAAATAGAGATGAATGTGCATAAATAAATGTTTTTAAATACGTCTGGTGTTTTGGATCTGAGGACTAATTGCATCGTCCTGTGTGTCCGGAGAGCATTTTGTACTGCGAATTTTTCACGGTCAATCGCTTCCATCATATTCCTTCGTAATGTTTGAGTCTCATTTAGCAAATCGTGGAGGACAGAACTCGCCCCTTCTCGACTTTCGTTCAGCTCTTCTTTGAGAACATTGTTGTATCGTTCTACGCGTTTTTAAATGAAATGTTTTACATAATTGTAAGGACATGAATTTCGTAAATAGTTTAATGCCTTTGAGAGAAATTTTCGATCTGAGGTTCTCAATTTGCTGAGTAATTGGCATCGCTTCCTCGGCAAGGTCGGAGACATGGTGGTGCTTCAAATGGTTGGGTGGTTCAGCTTGTGCAAAAAAATGGTAAAGACGACGTGTAGAAAAAATGGTTATCTTAACTTTGGTAATAAAATACCTGCTCTTCCGCATGAATTTTCGTCCCTCTTTGAAAACATTTTCGAAACAGATAAATGGGTACAAAAATGAGTAAAAAGGTGATAATTATCTTTTATTATAACGAGCAAACCACCACGATTACATAATTGACAAGATCGGTTAAATTTTCTAAATAATTTCCAAAGTTACACTTGCCCAACTTCGGCAGGCCTTTTGAGATTTTGGAAAACGTATAAAAAATCTTGTAACAGAATACCGTGCAAAAAATGTATGTAATTGAGTCGACTTTTAACTTTGAAAAATAGAATTCCACACTTTGTTACTATTTTTGGACAATTTTTTCATATAGCGAAGAATAGTTCTGTCACGTTTAAACAACTTTCTCAGAAATTCCTGTTGATGTGGGAGGTGGGCTTGTTCGCAGCAGGATTCTCTGTGGTGGTGGGTGTACCCCAGTTCTGGATCCACATGCAAGATGCAATTGTCCGAAGTCATTCCTTTCACAGGACTGAGGCACATTTTGGGGGCATGATTGTTAACAACGAGGGCAGTTTGAGTGCTGTGAATGCATTTGGAATTGAAATAGCTAGAGCTATGATCAGTATATACTTCCGGTTTAACAATCCAGTTGATTCTCTGGAAAAAAATTACATTTAGTATATTAGTTACATGACCTCTTGCTAAACCCCAAGCACAGCAATAATGTAATACTCATTTAAAATACCGTCATCATAAATGGAATAATATTATTATCTTCATCAACATCTTCTGGTTCTTCTTTGACTAATCTGATCTCTTGTCCTCCATGGAATCCATCAACAATCTTGTCAATGAAAAGTCGCATTTGAAAGCAGAATGATGGAGAGTTTTCCCTTAAAAACAGAAAGTTAAAAGTCACAATAATTAAATTGCTTCACTAATATTTTAAATTATGTATGCAGAATATGAGTCTCACCATGACGGAGCATCTCCATCGTACAAGTCTTCAATAAGACCGTACCAATCCTCCGACAACTTTGGAAGAATTATCTACAAGAAAAAATAATTAAGGTTTTTCTCTGCGATAAAAAAACGTTATCGACGATTTCAGTCAGACCTCGTCCACATCAAGGAGGGCAATGTATCGATATTTGTACATGTTTGATAAAAAACACTCATTGTATGCAATCAATTCTTGCTTCCAAGCTTGTGCAATATTTTTCTGAAAAGATTATAAATAGTCCCCGGCAGTTTTACAATTTACCGTTTTGATTTAAATTGTAAAGCCTTTAATTTACCTCTAAATATTCTGTTGTTGAATTAGAGTCCATTTCTCCAGCTATCGTTACTGGTCGTACAGTTGCCAGTCCATTAGCTTGATAGTGATTGAGAACCTGGACCAATAAATAAAAATTAGCAATACCAATTAAATAAAACAAACAAACTATTAAATGTGTACCTTTTCTGTAGCAGGATCAACTTGAAAAACATGAAAATGAATTCCATCAACCCCTAAAATTCTCAACATTTCCACCCACTGCACCAATTTTCGGGAGATATCTTTACTCGGAAAATTCAGCCCTTTGACACAAAGTCCAAAAGTTTTTCGATCCTCTGGAGGAAGTTGATAAGTCAATCTTAAGTCATTTCGTGCCATGGAGCATTTTCCAGTCAAAAGCGACACCGACTCCCAATACGACTCGGCGTGCTTTGGTAAGGGAGGAATTTTACAGGTTAAAAGGTATGGTTGAATTGCACCCCACTTTCCCCAATTCGTGTTCCAAAGATAGGTGAATTCTTCACTCTGTCGTTACAGAAAAAGTGTCATTACAATCACAATCAGATGCATGTAAAATTTCGGTTCAATTCTTACCGGAGCTAAACTTGCGTAGCTTTTATTTCCAATGTTTATCCAAAATCGACAAAAGAAGTCGTTCACCAAACTTGGTGGTGTTATGATGTCGTCAGTGAGAAACAAGATTCGTACGAGGGGTTCGCCATCTGCATGTACATAAATAATGATGGTATATTGAATTACTTACCAAAACAAGCAGTCATTTTGAGCATACCTAATCGGGTATCGATGTAGGCGCCGTTCAAGTAAATCCGGTTATTTTCCGTTAGGCGTGTGACCTTATCATTATGATTATAGCATTATTTAGTCATATTTAAATATTAAATCGAATATGTATGCTACACTCACCTGCCAAAGTTTATTGTGAAATTCTAAATCCGTAATGTGCGGTCGCATTATCCTTTTTTCAAAACGGATAAAACAATCCTCTAGTTCATCGCCTAATTGTGTCGCTGTTGGGATAATCTTGTCGGATAACTTGGACAACGGCAAGCTCGGTAAAATCAGGCCATCCTTTGTGGTTGCAAAGTGATCACTCTGTTGAAATCGGTCAAGATCTGATGGAAGTTTATTTTGCGATATGAGAATTATGAAAGTTGAAACAATGATGATCACGAGAAACAATGATCTGGCTCTGGGATGGCGAAACTTGTTCCTGAAAACTCTGCAAACGTTCTTTTGGGGAAACATTGCTGGTAAGATATAAGATAAGTTCGTCTTATTGGTTTTCAGATTTATTTTGCTCCAGCTGCTGATATGGCACTTTATCACGGGACAAGCGTTACCTAAGCAATCGTGGTGCCGGACTCACCAAAAAATTAAGAATCGCATGCAGAATTTTACGTCACACCATGACTACATCACAATTTAGTTTCATTTTCATGATTCCGGCCAGAGTTGATGTAAATTAAATGAGCGAATTGTAATGGCCGGCATAATAAAACTTGCGACATGGGCAAACCCGACGGCACCCACAGCCCCAACGTCAACATAGACCACTTCTTGAGCACGCTAAAAAAATATCATCGAAAATCGATTGCCATCCACCGATCCTCCATCGGAGGAATTGTAGAGCGGAGAAGTACTTCCGGAAGTAAGGGAAGCAATCATAGCAATCCCACTGTCAAAAATGTGCTCACAGTTCCACTCGGTGGGGAAGGAGGTCATGGGCGCAAGGGGTCAAGAACAAAGTTTACGCATCATGTACTCAAAATAATAACAATATCATAAATAATGATGGATTAATTAATTAATTAATTAATTTTTGTATGGTATCGACAGCACACACACCAAACCGGTAGCGTTGCGAGTGGAAGTAGCGGTGGTTCAAGTGGGGGCTCAAGTGGTGGGTCGGATTATACTACAAAACGGAAACATCGTAGAGCTAAAAAGAAGGACAAGAAGGCAAGCTTTCTTATCCAGATTTTTTGATATTGATTTGATTTTAATAAATTTTTAATAGTTCTGCATAACAGGACACCATACTCAGTCGGTTTCGCGACGCCATAGCAGAATCGGACGTCTTTGTAGAACAAAGTGCAGAATCTCCACATTTAACTTGTATTCGGATCAGTTTCGTCACCCTCGTCCCTTTCGCCATCTTCCTCGTGTGGGACACCTTAGCCGTGTTGATATTTCAAATGCCACATTTATCCCTGATCGACCTGCCCGGGTTAATTTTAATATTCCAATTTGTTGGGATTGTATTTGCCATGTATGGCTATATGGTGCAATTTGTGACCACGGGGTCGTCCAGTCGATATGTGACAATAGCTTATTTAGCATTAATAGGACAAAGCATTCTCTTTACTTGGAGGGTGTTTTTAGAAGTTACCTACGATGGGCGGAGATATCAAGAGAAGAATTATCTTCCGAGACTTATTCGATATTTCGACTGAGGTTTAATAAAGATCTGACAAACAATTTGAAATGATTAGTGGGATTTAATTTTTGACTTGGCAATAGTATTTTCACATTAGATTTCGTCTGAATTGTAGGTTACTACATAATATAACATATTTCTGTCTACTTACATTTGACTAAAATGGCAATAAATCAGTGTGTATGTATTCACTCCAGTCTGCCCCCACTAGAAGAGCTTGACTCGGGCTGTTGTTCTTCAAAAAAGTCTTGATCAATTCGCTTACAGAATTTAGTCAAGTTGGGGTGATGCCTGATTATATTAGAAAATTGTGAATGGTTGTGGAGCGGATGGGTCAACATGGTGAAGAGGTAGCCAAACACAAGAGCGTCCAACTCTGTTGGTGTAGATCCAAAGAAATAATCCGATTCGCCAAGACGTTCGCTCAAGGCGAGCAAACATGTTTCAACTAAAAACGTGTAGAAACGTAATTATTACACACAGACACAACTAAAGATAATTACTTGTAGTTGAGTAAATATTTACCTTCCCGATAAACCTCCTCCGTAGTTCGGTATCCCCATTTAAGCGCGTTCAACTGAGACTTGACCTTTCTCCTCAGTGTCCAAGGTAGGAGATACTTTAGCGGAAAGTTGTACGGAGATCCGACTCTTTGTTTCGTGTACTTGTTGTACACGTCCTCGTCCAACCATGTAAAGTACAGGAGGGCATTTCCCAGGACGTTGTGGACAAGGGACATGTAAGCCCTCAGGTCAGCCCTTTCAGCAGCATTCAAGTATTCAGTGATACTCATCCCCTTGGCTTGAGCGAGCGATACAATTCCATCCAACTCTGACACAACGTAGGCACCACACTTGATTACGGGCAGTTTTCCTGTACAAAATACAGATTAACTAGATTAATGGTTAATTACAAAATCAGACTAAAACTACGACACAGATACGCTCACCATTTGGACTTATGTCAGACGAATTGTGACATTCTCGAACTTTGAAAGGCAAGCGAGCAATTTTGAGAAAAGCTTGGGCCCCCAAAATAGCAGCGTGTTCGGGAACAAGGACTTGTGATGATTCGAGAGGGACTAACATGAAGGTGTCAGGGGCCCAGGGTTCCTTACCTGAAAAGAACATTAAATAATAATATTTTAACATTTTTTAAAGATTTTTGCTGAGATTCTCAATATTTAAACTTAATTACTGTCAAACTCAAACAGATCCGCAGGGACAGATTGTGACCCGCTGGTGGCCATGTCGTAATGATAACTAATTTGTGGAAAATTGGTGAATTTCGTTAATTTTGCGGCCTGAAATTGCAAAAGGTGAAAAGCGAGATTTATTTTTATTGGGATGGTGTCGACTAAATATTTCCCACTTCTGCTCACTTTCACCGTGGGGTTGCATGAAATGGAAAAATATGAATGAAATCAAATACAAAACAGAGCTCAGAAATCCAGTGTTTAACGTTAACGTAACGTCAAACTTTATTAATTCATTAAATTGCAAATAATTTGACAGGTCAATTGCGCATACTTATTCAATTTTTAAAAGTAGACCAAATTAATTATAGAGTCTACAAACATTCTGAACAAAACATTCATATCTAACAAACGACAATTTTGAAATTTCTACGAATTAAGGTATATGATCGCGATTATCCATAACAAAACATAACGATATGATGAATTGCGGACCCATTCTTATTTTCGACTTAGGCTTGCTCCTCAATGTCCCCATGGCACGTCGGACATTTTTCCAGATCGGTGTAAAGCATCCTCTGAAGTAATACAAGCTTATATTAGAAAAATCGACACCAATCAAGTCATACTTTTTAAAATTACCCTTGGATGGACGGGACACGTTCGTCGTTTGCGAGTCTTTCTACTGTCATCTAGAAATCCACATCCGGTACAAATGATGTAATCCACCGTGCGTTCGCAGATGCAGGCTGGGTCCTTGTTCGAATTCTTTGGTGGTGGGATGACCACACGATGCGTCAGGTCAACCGCTGCGAGTGGAAGTGGTTGACGAATCTGTTGGTAGGGCGGGTAGGCCGGTCGCGGTTGAACGTTCTCAAAACTGCCACCCCCACCATGGTAGGCGAATGGTGGACGAAGAGGGCCTCGACCTCGGTAGTAGTAGTTGTTGTTGGCTGACATCTTTGCAATCTGTGGTCGACTAGTTGTTCAAGAAAACAAAACAAAACAGAAATAGCAAATAAATAAAACTAATGATAAGTATTTAGTTTGTAAATAAATAAATTAAATTGTACTATTTTCAAAGTGAAATGAAATCATGTACCAAATCTAGGTTGAATAAAAGGTCTCCTCCTTTTAAATAGTTGTCCTAATTTCGGCCAATTTGTGATTAATTAATTTGGGGATTTTTAAAGCACAAATTTTATAAAACGTTGTCTGCTTGTCGATGGAGGGAACTGAATGACCGGCAAAATGAGTGATTTCCTGGCAATCTCACTCACACAAATCTCGCATTTCCCTAATTTCCTTAAATTCGATCAAAGAGTAATAATTTTTTTGTTAAAACATGTAGTAATTTTACAAATATATTTCGTCACCAATCGATTAAGCCCTTAAATTGCTGCAAAATATAGTTTTAAATTAAACGCAAAATAGAATATTTTATCTGGTTGTTGGAAATCACTTATTTCCTTCAAGGAAATTTGAGACATGGAACTTCCTTGTCTTAAGCCCACAGGTGAAATATGCGACGCCATCTATTCGTCCATACCGCTGCATGTTATTCTACGTGTTCACAAGAAAATCTTGTGCGCCACACCCACTGGCTCTACAGACTTGGTTTTGGTCTCAAAAAAAGCTCCAGAATGTTCTTCGTCTACTCCCGGATATAAACATTTAAAAAAGTTGCTGAAAATGTTTGAGATAATGTATCAAAGTTTTCAAAAAAGATAATTTGCATTTCCACCAATTAAAAAAAATGTTTATGTCCGGGATTGGAAGAAGAATATTCTGAAGCTTATTTTGAGACCAAAACCAAGTCTGTAGAGCCAGTGGGTGTGGTGCACAAGATTTTCTTGTGACCTAGTTCCTAGTTTTTGTTTTTTAAACAGCTGGCATTTCAACAATTGTGGATGGATTTTATTAATTGTTTTTTAAAAATGATCTGAATGAGTTATATTTTCAAATTTTTAATTGTTTTGAAGTTTACAAAATTTCACGCGCAAACGGCAAAGGTCACAAGGTCAAATCTCACATAGCCCCATAAACTGGGTATCGTTGGAAAGGTCGTGGCGAGAGGATTTAGAATATATATACTTTATGGGGTCTAGGACCACCCCCTGATTATTTAGAGACCGATGAGTATTATTGAGTTTTCCTCGATCTAGTGCTATGTTAACTCTCAATCTGCTCCTGTGTTAACGTCTGTATACCTGCAAAACCAAAACTCAAAAATGTTCACTGGCCTCTAATTAATCAGGGGGTGGTCCCAGACCCCTCAAAGTATATATATTCTGAATCCTCTCATCAAGACCTTCCAATGGTACCCCATTTAGAGGGCTGTGAGCCTTGACCTTGTGACCTTTGGCCTTAGTACATTCAATTTTTTGACCTTCGAAAAAAGTCAAAATTCTTAATGAATCTGAAAATACAACTCATTGGGATCATTTTTCAACAAAAATGAAAAAAATTCATCCAATATTGTTGAAATGCCAGCGATTTGAAAAATCGTTAGTTTTGTAACTTTCGTCAGTCACCCGTCCTCTTAAAAGTTTATTTTCGACAAGAAAAACATGCAGAATAATAAATTTTTACAAGCCTGACAAACAAACCTACATCTTGTTCCATGAAACAAACCACCATTCCTGAACGAACGTTTGAGAACTGTGACGAATTATGCCTTCCCGACCTTAATTTCGACACAATTTGCATATCCAATGCAATTCCCGGGTTCTACTGCTATATTATGCTGAGAAAATTCCTCTACATACCATTTGACAACTCATTACATTACAATAAAAATGACACCAAGACAGATTTACAATTGACAAGCCCCAAATGTTTATTCCCACTAGACTCAATTTAATAACGGCTTGGAGGGAGGAGAGAAAAATAACTAACTTGACCAAATACATAAATTGTCACTTCTCGTGACCAAACAAGAAACCTTTTGGTGCTGGAGAGATGACTCTATCAGCACATTACCCGCATAGGATGACCTTTTGCGGTGCCCTAAAACATACCCTTTTGACCTTTTCTTCCTAATTATTTCTGCCGCTGTTGTCGCTGGAACTTCTTCTCCAACACGGCAGCAGCACGAATCTTGCAGTCTTCTCTCGACCGAATCCAACGACGAACTGAACTGATTTTTGCTCGAGCTCGCAGTTTTATGCTACGAGCCAAGAGCATTCCCATGGCAACTCAATTTGCCCCAAAACTACTTTACAACAAATATAAAATAATATTCTCTCCCTTACAGAACGTTTTTTGAACGACAAAATGGTTGCCGAAATTAAATATTTTACCTTCGACCACACCCTAGGTCATAGAAACTCTGAGGCCCCAAATGTTATATGCCCTTATGTAGCCTTACCTAAACCTTTCTTTCCAAAGATGCTATTGATGAATGGTATGAGCTAAGTCAAAATACCCTTTGACCTTTTCTGACTTTTATAAAAGGGTCCATTTTTGCCATCATTCAAACTGAGCTTAGCAGAATGATTTTTTGAAAATATTTATTAGTCGAATGCATTACTAGCTCGATGGATGGACCAATTTTTTTGTTGTGGTCCATGATCCATTTTTGTCCAGTGGACCATATGGTCCATTGCGACCTATGATTACATACGGAATAATTGGCTAATAACCGTTCAAATTAATCTATTAATTTCAAGCGACATTGATTTATTCAACTCAACTATTAACTTTTACATGTAATTAATTATTACATAAATCTGCACAAAATTAATGTTATGCATGGAAGACAAAACTTGGTCACAATGTTTGTTTGACTGCATAAATGGAAATGTTTCTGATCCTGAGCACCACCAACCACTTTGTATATACATACAATTCATTATGAATTCAATAATATTATAACAAGCTATGCATAAAGCCTAAATCTTAATATTGTCACACGTTACGTCCTATTATCACTATATCATTTTTTTAACGATTGTTTCTGTCTGATCAGATTAATTAAGTTACTTATTTGTCATCTCTCTCACATCGAAATCGTCGTACATCGTTTCCTTCGAATAGGTCAACTACCACCTAAATTCCATCTACTACAGTCTTTTACTTGATCAGTACTACTAAATACTACCACCGCCGTGGCCGTACGGTTTTTAGGCCAATTTTATGGGAATTTCAGTGACGACATGGTCATCCAGCGGTGGGTTCAAAATGACGTCCAAACTTTGTACGAGGCGAAGCTCCTTGGGTATCGGTCTCCCGGTCGGGTTTGTGGTCACTTTAGGGTGTGCCTCCGCATATTCCTTTGTCCGCCGAAGAACAACTTGCATCGTGGCCAGAGTTGTGCGAAGAACTTCGGGTATATTTTCAGCCCCCAGTTTGTGATACCACCCGAGGAAGAGGGCAGCAAAGAGGTCTCCGGTTCCCGTGAAGATGTCATCCAGTCGCGGAGACGTGGTTTTCCAAACTCGTCTAGTGCCACTCTCTGTAAAGAAAAAAAGTTGGATATACTTTATGCATATTTATTACCTTAACCCTTATCGGTTATTATATAACGTATGGAAAATAATTAGTACCTGATCGAACCGAAGCATACGTGTCCAAATCAGCCCCGGCGCTGTCTAAACTGGAAAGTACGACAATTTTGACTCCCAAATCGTGAATTTTGTCCATGGCGAGAAGAGCATCGGTTTCAGTTACGATCTTCATTCCACTGAACAGTCTGAACAAGGAAAATACATTTCAACTCCATGATTTCTTAACTACTAAATATTTGCATATTAGATGTTAAGCATTTGATGGGTTACTCGAGTTCAAAGGTGTTTGGCGTTGTAATATCTGCAAGTGGTAGAACGTCTCTAGTATAAACTGGAATGAGTGCTTCGGGTACGTAAAAGTGCCCATTGTCTCCAAGTACTGGGTCACATACTGGCATTTTTAAGACAAAAATCTCATTATTCGATCATGAAACAACACATTTTAACTGATTTTTACATACGATAAACGCAGTTTGGCAGTTTCTTCTTGATGGAAGCGACCACACTCTGAATCTTTTGGAGAAAGGAGACCGTGCCCACATATCCGGTTAGAAGATGAGAATAATTCACCAGCTCGTTATCCACAAGCCCTTGGTACAAGTCATCTAAATTTTCATAAGTTAGTGAATTCATTAAAATAATGTGCTGACCTATCTAAAATATGTATAAAATTACCTAAATCTGTATCCATAAGTACTTGACCCTTCCACTTTCCGTATCCCGTATGATTCGAAAATTGGACCGAGTTTATAAAATCCACTTCGAATCCAAGTGCCTTCAAGAGAATTAAATCACGTAATGAACTGAATAATTTATTATTCAAATTGTACATGCAAATTTTTACCTGTAGTGGAAACACGGCACACTTATTTCCCACGTAGCCGGAAACTACATGACTCTGAATGGACAGCACTCTCGGACTGTGGTCAACTTTACTTTCTCCGTTAATAATACTGTCCGAATCCACATTACAACCGCACCCACTTTCTACCACCACTGTTTCAGACATGTTATTGTGAAATATTTTGCTGCCTATGTAAAATATTAATGCGTCCTAAAATCAGCCGGGTAATAAACCGAAAAAAATCTAAACTTTTACCACTCTTACACAATTCGGGAGAAGAGATTACTACCCGCCCGGTTTTTTAGCCAAGTGTGTATGTGATCTCAGTAATTATCATGTCATGACTACTTTTATTAGCCTCCTTTAACTGACTAAAAGTAATAAATTATTATTCTCTAACTAACTGAATGCAGACCCAGACACCGCCTTATAATAAAAATGTATCCAGTAGAAGTTAGTGTTTTATTACGAAAAAAACTCAAGGTTTCAGTTTACTTTGTTAAGTAAATGGCTACTATCATATCATGGGTGCTTAATGATGGGTGTAATATTCCATTCCAGTATTAACCAAACATTAACCACACATTAACCAAGCAAACCTACGAAAAAATACGTGAGGTGGTATTATGCTGTATTGTTGACGTGACGCAAGATGATATGATGATTAGACATGTGTAAAAGTAATGTTTGTTACTCGTGCATGTTTATTTTATTAGTTAAATTTGTTTGATTAAGTTAATATGTAAATACACATGTCGATCCTCTCAAGAGAATGAAATTAAGAATTATTATGCACACTGAAATTGAATTGAATGGTTTCCTGTTATATGAGTTTAAACACTACTAGATGAAAAAGTGCTGAAATCTGAAACTTTATGCAGTTGATATAAATGCCAGAATTTTCTGGTATGTGTTTTTTACACCGTAAACAAAATACTTAACTTTATCACGAGACGATGACGTAATCAACTATAAAAGCGATAACCAAACTATATTATTTAATAAGAAAAACCAAATATGTCCAAAAAGGGCAGGAAATTCTAGAACAAGATGAGATGACATGCTCCGAGAGAAGAACATTTCTCCATTGTTATTATGCTCGGCGGATCGATTTCTAACATGTGTGTAGCTCCAAGTCCGACCAAACCGAACCGAATTCTACTTATGCTAAACAGTCTCCGAAAAAAAAGATGTGGACTTGATCCACAAATATTTAAATGTAATATTTTAATACAACAATTACACTCATGAAGTCATGAAGTCGGGTGCAGTGGTAATCTGCGTGGTGATTGGGTTCCTCTTTGGCGTCGGGTTCTATCATTGGGTCGTCCTCAGAGGACAGTTTCCTAATTTTAACAGTTATCCTCAATTTTTTCAAGTTTCCTCCACTTTGAACTTGAACAAAGGTATATTAATTTAATTAACAATTAAATTAAGATAATTTTAACAATTAAAAAATATTTTACACAGCAATTTCTACACAATCAGCAACAAAAAGCCCTCATGATAACAAGTGCCTCGAATCTTACTTCCCTGTCGACGAGGTGGTCAAGGGTGCCCTGCTACAGGATGACCCCCGCCTGTTGACCTTTATCCGACAAAATTACCTCCATCCCCCCTCCGTCCCCGCCCAGCCTTACAATTTAACCTCAAATGTCGAAGACACGTCGATGGGTCAGACAAAAATGGTTTTGAGAGCACTTAACCATGCAAGAAATGGATTCTTTGTCGAAGCTGGAGCTTTAGATGGAGAACTGCGATCAAACACTTTAATGCTGGAGAGGCAATTTGGCTGGAATGTAATTAATAATTACACAAAAGTTAATATTATAATTTATTTATCATTAAATAATAATGGTGAATTATGCAGGGCTTATTAGTCGAAGGTGATCCCAAGAATTATGCCTTACTCTTACAAAAATATAGAAAAGCGTGGTCAACTCCGGCCTGTCTTGCGACTCGTGACCAGCCTCATCAAGTAAGAAGTCAATATTTTAATTTTTCATAAAATAGCAAATAATAGAAACTATTATTGATTTCAGGTTTTATTTGAGCAAGCCTTCAATCGTGGCAGAATTTCGCCACGAAACATGAAACAGCGCATGCAACAGGCCGAATTTCGGTCGACCCCACCTCCAGGGACCACTTTGTCTCAATGTTTTCCCATATTTTCCCTCCTGGCGGCTCTGAATGTGACGGAAGTCGACTATTTTTCACTGGTAACAAAAATATTATATTTCTGGCAAAAATATTATAATTTCCTACGACATTGATTAACTTGAGTTCTAATATTCGCAGGACGTGGAGGGGGCCGAAATCGACGTTTTGTCCTACATCCCATTTCACCGGGTTCGAATTAAAGTTCTCTCTGTCGAATTTCTCCACACGCCTGGAGGGAGGGAGGCTTTGAGGAAAATGATGGTGTCGAAAGGTTACCGGGTATTTGGCGAGGTCAGAGATCCTCGCCACAATTGGGCGAATGATATCATCTTCATCCATAATTCACTTGTCCCCTGATTTTATTCTGTCCAAATACTCAATTTATTTGTATTGCTAATTGATCTCACTGATTTTTTTAACTAGACTTATTTTCATGTCGTAAAAAATTGTCAAGAATAATATGCTCAATAAATTATATTTATTATTTAGCACAGCCCCAAACCAATCGTCGTCTCATTTTCATCGTCTCAACATGAGATTCTTGGTTTTATTTTATTTTATTTTATACACTGAATTTATACGCTGCAATATTTATAAATTATTGCGAACTCTAATAACTCGCACACGCACTATTTGCAAAATTCTGTAAAAAATTTAACGACTATGATGCCACTAAAAATTTCATTTTTTTATATTTACAAATTTTTACCAATGTTGAAATTATATGTAACTCACGACGAGTGTTTTGTGTAGCTTTGAAGTCCATCTACCGAGTCGGACACCACGCAAAATAAAAGCAGAGTCGGCTCATTGCAATGCAGCAATAGAGATACGAGACGAGATTATTGCTCTCTCTGATATCTCTCTTTTTTGAGTGTGGAGTGAGGAGTGGAGAAAACTGAAATAATAATAAATTTTTACAAAAATTTTAATTAACAGTTCTTTTTGTACATTAATTTAAGAAACGTGTCGTCAATTTGAGCAAGAGAAAAGGTAAGGTTTGTTAATGTGGTGAAAGAGAGGGTTCAATTTTATAGGGCGTGTATTTTTTTACGCGTCGTCTTTTATCTTGTTTGTCTAATCTCAATTTTTAATCTGCCAGTTAAATTTTGCCATGACCTAATTGTTAGTTAATAATAATTAACTATTTTTAATAGTTGGTCATATTTTGATTATTTTCAGAACTTGAAACTCTGCTGCTGCTGCTGCCTGTGTGACAGAGCTGACCTTTCCTGAAGAAAAAAGAAATGAGCGACGGACCTAGCCTTTCGACAACGGCATTTGCAGGTAAAAATAATTCATCAAAAAATATCTATCTAATTATTACATTAAATCAAAATTGATTTTATAATAAAATTTTTATTTACCAAATTGCAGATGCCCTAGCAAGAGCCAGACAGCTCGCAGCAAAATTGGGATCGGCTGGACCTCCTCCGTCCCCACCTCAAGGAAATTTTGGACTCAAACGTCCTGCAAGCTCGATCGGATCAAACGATTCTGGTAATAAAGTTGTAGTATTTTTTTGTTCCGATTTTTATGTCCGGAAGTTGCTTTGTTTTCTTGCTTTGCGTTGTCGTAAAGTAATTTTAATTCTTCCAAAAATAAAACGAGGATTCGCTAATACCATCTCGACTTTAATGAGTGGAATTTGATAGTAGCCCTCGTGACATGAATTATTTAACTAACGTGTAAAATATTAACATGAGGCGTTATCTAAATTTTGGTTTTGTAAATATTCTAGAGCCCGACAATAAGAGGATGGCATCGCTGAACGATCCATTCGGCGCCCAGCTCGCAGCTATGAAGGGTGGAATAGGTGGGATGGGAATGGGTTTGGGCGGCGGTGGGGGTGGCGGAGCAGTTGGCAACTTTACGTTCCCTGTAGGAAATGGAATAACGGGAAGTGGCAAGTCTTGCATGGAGGAGGTTCGGATTCCAGATGGACTTGTTGGCTTGAGTAAGTTTGATAAAACCAATTAAAGTCCATAGTTACTTACGTGCCCTTTACATGGCCCTGATTTATAATTTCATTTTGATAGTAATTGGACGAGGCGGAGAACAAGGTAAATTGTCTAATTCTAAATTCATCTTATTTTGGAATCTAATTCATTCTCATTTTTTTTTCTCTAGTTTCTCGAATTCAGAGTGAAACAGGTTGCAAAGTCCAGGTTGCTCCTGATAGTGCTGGAGCGAAAGATCGTCCGTGTTATTTGCAAGGGACCAAGGAATCTATAGAGTAAGAAAAGAAAGTTGTATAACATCCTGTCTCGAATGAAACTTAAATGGTGCCTTCTTTTGTTTAGGAAAGCGAAAGACTTGATCATGGACATCGTAAATAGCAAAAGTCACGAAGTTGGACGTCCAGGTTTAGGAGCTACAAAGCCAAATCTGGCAGGAATGAGTGCAGGACCTGGGTCTACATCTATTGAGATGACCATTCCGGGCGCAAAAGTTGGCCTCGTCATTGGGAAAGGAGGCGAAACCATTAGAAATTTACAAGATAAATCCGGAACCAAGATGTTTATTTTGCAAGAGAATATGTTTGAAGAATGTGACAAGCCTCTTCGAATTGTGGGCGAACCAGATTTGGTGGAGGTTCGTAATTTTATTCGTAGAATATTAATGCTGTGTTGTGCTAAGCTAATCTAAATTCGAAGGTTTTAATATTGTTTGTTGCCTAATTTTTACAGCATGCCAGACAGTTGGTTATGGATTTGATTAACGACACTCCACCCAAATCCGAATTTTTCAAAATGAAAAGCGAATACGGAGATCACGATTCGATGGGAGGAATGGGCGGTGGTGGGATGGGACGAGGTGGTGGAGGTGGCGGTGGAAGATCTGGATTAGGCTTTGGGTCATTAGAAACAATGGTGAGATATCGTTTTGTATTAATTTTACAAAATTCCAATCTATTGTATGCGAAATCTAATTATTTACTGAATGTCATTGCAGAAATTCCCAGTTCCCAAAATTTCAGTGGGGTTAATTATTGGTAAGTTCAAGTTTTAATATCTCATACTCACTTTAATTAACAATAACATTACATTACATAACATTAATCGTTTTGTACTATACTTAAACAGGAAAGGGTGGAGAGATGATAAAAAAGATTCAACAGGAAACTGGAGCCAAGGTCCAGTTTGACCCCGTGAATCAAAACTTGGGCGATATGGACGAACAATTGGCAATTATTACTGGGAAACCGGATCAGTTGAGACTCGCGCAACTTAAAATTGAAGAATTAGTTGAAACAGCACTTCATGGTCCGCCTGCTCGTGGTGGTGGAGGAGGAGGTGGACCAGGTGGACGAGATGGTGGTTGGGGCGGTGGTGGCGGTCCCCCACGAGGAGGCCCTCGTGGTGAAGGTCAAGATGAAGAGCGTCTCCAGGTTCCTGTTAATCGTGTGGGAATGGTAATTGGGAAGGGTGGCGAAACCATACGATCAATCAATCAGCAGTCTGGGGCTCATTGCGAGATTGACCGTAACGGCCCTCAAGATGGACCAGAGAGGATTTTTAGCATTCGTGGAAATCGGTCCCAGATAGAACATGCAAAGTCCCTGATAATGGAAAAGGTTAATACGCTTCCTCCAAAGGTATCGTCATTTTTAAGCATATACCATGTGCAATTCGTTTATTGTTTGGATGGTTATTGAAGAACAATTATTTTTGTAGGGAGGACATGGAGGAAATGATTCATATGGAGGAGGCGGTGGTGGAGGTCACCAATCCTGGGGTGGTGGAAATCAATATGGAGGCCAGTCAAATCAATGGGGTGGTCAAAATCAAGGCCAGCAAGCTCAGCAAGGAGGTGCAGGAGGAGGAGGAGGTAGAGTACCTTTTAATATGCATAACTAGACTATCACTTGACGGATAGGATAACTATAAGTTATTTTAAAAATGATCTAGATGCGCAAGCACAATGGGCGGCATATTACGCTCAATACTACAACCAAGCACAAGCTGTCCCATCAGCAGGAGGTGCAGCCGCTGGTGGTGGCCAAGCCGACTACACCCAACAATGGATTGAATATTTGCGGGCACAAGGACAACATCAACAAGCGGATATGCTTGAAAAACAAATGAAGCAGTCTCAGAATGGTGGTGGAAGCAGTAGCAATGGCGGAGGTCCTCCCGGTGTAACTCCTGCTGCGCCAGGCACCACGCCAGGCGCACCAGCAGGTGCTCAGAATGGTGGAGACTACAGCCAAGCTTGGGCCGACCACTACAGATCTATTGGAAAAATTGCAGAGGCGGAACAAATTGAAAACTACATCAAATCTCAGAAGGTAACCGCAATTAAAATGATAAACTAATTGTTGTTCTTGACAATATCTAAAACACTACTTGTTTTGTATTTCTCTAGGCTGGAGGTGGAGCAAATGGACAACCACCAGGCGCACCTGCTCAACCAACCGCTGGAGGTGATCCAGCCGCCTATCAACAATATTATCAACAGTACTACCAACAGTACTATGGAGCTGCCGGTGGTTATCCTGGGGCTGCTGGTGGATATCCTGGAGCGGGGGCAACAAGTCCCCCAGGGGTCGGAGGTGGAGGCGGCCCTCCTGCAGCCCCACCCGGAACAGAAGGTGACAAATGAACACCCCATGATGATGATATGTCTTTTAATCAAAGAGACTGACTCCTCTTCCTGTTTTGGGTAAGCTGAATGTTTCTAATCCGCTTTTAACTTTGTCAGGCATCATCTTCAACGATAATTACGAGTACAATTACGAATATGATCCTACTACTGCTACCGTTAGCTATGAGCATTTTTATCCGTACAACTATGAGCCGCAGATGCTCATACCAGTCGTACCTGTTGATAACTACCAATTTTGGGCAGAGGCAGAACAGTGACGATACTCATATTCATATGCAGACTAAATATGTAGAAGAGTTTTTTAATAAGCAATCACTACTATATTATCTTCTTGTACAAATTGAGCACACGATATGACTTCTTGTAAAATTAGGCTGTGATACAATGTGATACATGATAATGTTAAATGTGACATATGATATATTTTATGGACTGATTCACTAAAATAATACTTTCCTATATACATAATTGAACTATTTTGGGAATTATTGGTTTGAATAACTTATTTGACAGTGCTTTATGTAGTGCAAGTGCGTGCCTACGCACTCAGGATGGAACCCCCATCTTCATCTCTCTCTCTCTTATGCCATTTTTATTGATCTCACATAATGATAATAGTAATAATTAATACATAACTTTAATAATATCTCTTCTTTGGGTTGATAAATCATCGCAAGTTTTTTTACAATGATGCATTTTGTTTGATAATGATGATTATTGATGATATAATATATTTTTCGAAATCGGCATTGGTTTTTTTGGTGGTTATTATGATAATAATTAGTGTAGGAATCGCATTGGTGTGGAGCCATTGATTGCTGTTTCTCTCAGCGCCTCAGTCAGGTTATTCTTTCATACGTACGTGATGATTAAAAAATGACGTGATAATAATATTCTGATATTTTGTAATGCAATGAGAATATGATGAACAATGCTTATAATTTGATTTGATTGACTTGATATTGGCATTATTATGTTGAGGATTATATATTTGAAAAATGTGTATTATAATTGATACAATATGGATTGCATAATGGATGTTGATATATTAGGTGGGACATAATATGTAAAAATATGTACCTATGAAATGTCTTTGTATAGGACACGAGAGCGCCGCGCTTTTACTACAGGCTGTCGTGGGTGGGGTTGGAGGTGAATTTAAAAAATGTTGTCTTTTACTGAATTTCAGGTGACACTTTGGCCCCGTTTTAATGATGATGAACAAGATGATGTAGAGTTATAAATATGAGCAACATAATGTGTGGCATTATTATATTCTCGTAAAAATGTGAATGAATGTGTTATATATTAATTCCTCTCATTATACCCAGCCCCATATAATAATGTGCAATATTTCTGAAATTAGATAATTAAGTTTCCAATTATTCGACAGTTTTTTTTATAAGTGAAATTGATTGATCTCTGAATAATTGTCGACTCTCATTTATGAAATTTGATATACATTTAATACTTGTTGAATGAAGAAAAAAAATATAATATATATTTTTAGGTGTTTAGTTATACACATCGCTTTTTAGATTTTAGGCTTCTTCCTATAATTTTTGCACGTCTTGTCCTATTCGCTGCTTAAATATTCTTCTGTCACTCATCATCTGGAAAAAGGTAATGAGTGAAATCTGTACATAATAAATATAATTATTCGCTATGATAATAATATGAATTAATGAATTGCATGTATATTAATATTGTAATAATGTCTCTAAAAAAACACTACTTTCGTCTGCACGTCACTTTTTGTCGTCTTTTTGGCCATGTTGTATACATTCTAATATTAGGCCGGTGTTGCGGTCGTCATCTTTATTGTGGCGTGCGTGGTGGCGTCCCTTCTTGTGCGTCGTAAACTCAGAACAACATCACGTTGGATTCGTCTTTGGTAAGCATGCTTGATATCATCATCTCTATATTTTATGAAGCGTTGGTGCATTTTGCTTACGTATTTTTTAGAGTTGGCTGAATTATTATCTATAAATGATTATAGTAAAAAAAGTAATAATAATTAAGTATTTAATAATATTTATATTTACATGCGCACGATTAATTGAAAGCGTAGTGTAGTGTATTCAATTAATCGTGGTACATACATATTATGAAAGGGGCGATGAACTTTTTTTTCATAAAATTGGGAAATTATTAATTTTATGTTAACAATCCAGAGCTCAATAATTTTCTAATTTCGGTATGAATATTATGATTATTTATTATCTTGCTGTGTGTGTGACATGATGAGGTTAGGGTTTTTTCTGAAGACGTCAACGCCAAACATCCCCACAAAAGGAAAACTGAAAAGGTATGGAATTTGTCAGTGTAAGAGAAGTATAATAATTGAGAAGTGTTGGTTAAAGATTAATTATTATGTCATAAATATTTGAAATCATTATGTATGTGCGCATACTAATTATGCGTGTGAAATATGTTTTACCCCCCTTGTTTTAAGATTATCTACAAGTTAAATGATGACAAATAAATTTTATCTGGTTGGTTAAATACAAATCGTCTTTTCATTTTCATTGCGTGAAAACAAAATAGTTCGTAGAAATGTTTTGCGACGAAGCATAATTTGTTTTGTAAATAATTGGCCATTCATTAAGTAGTTTAGCATTTGAGAATACGACATTGACGATACATGTAATTTTTGCAAAGTGAATTTCTATTATGGAAACATTAAATACCTCAGTCTTCCTAATTTTGTGCATATTTCGAGGAACAACGATTAGTCAAATGCCTCACACGGGAGATTGTCCACCTCGCACAGCCCTTCACACTATTGACGCTCGAAAGGTATCCATCTTATCCAGTAGAAAAGAGGGGAAAATAATCTCATTTATATCCAGTTATCTGGAGGAGTTTGGTATGAAAATCAGAGGACAGCCAGCCTCGTGGAGTGGCCATATAAATGCATCACTTTTAAAATTCAGCCCTTCTACGAGCATAAAAGTACACTTACGGTCACGTCCATTCACAGATTGTAAGAAAAAATATAACTCTAATTACTCTAATTCTAGTATTTTCTACCTGGAATATTTATGTATTTTATTTGTATAGGGATGGAGGACTTGTAAAATATTCAGTGTCCTTAAAATCTCTGGACCCGGAGGGCCGCAATGGAAAAATGACTGCAAAGGTTCCACTAGTTGAAGGAAAAATTAGTAGGATTTATACAGGAAGGCAGATGCCAATTCAAATCTTGGCCATGGACAATTCAACAACTTCGTGGGCTATAGTCTGGAGTTGTCGTGCATTTCCGAGAACACGTCTTCACACTGGTAATTATCTATATTATCAGTTAATTGATAGTAAAACATACTTAATTGACCATAATTTTCATCTTGATCTCATTCTAGAAAGCGTTTGGGTATTAACCCGAGAACGTGAATTGGATGAAACAGTTTCTCGTGAAATTCAAGAATCGTTGACTGCCCTGAATTTGGAACATTTGGTGATGCGTGACTCCATGCAAAATGAGTGTTCTTTGGAAGATGAGATAAAATAATGGCGATAATTACGTGTGATTTTAATTATTTATTAAATAAAGATAGTTTACAATAAATACTTTATCTGTGGCATTTTTTTAATCAGTGATCATCTTCACTTCCCCACAATCCCACCTTATCCCTACAATTATCCATCGAGTCAAACTTCTGCCCAGCCCAACATGGTCTCGATATCCGATTCACTGCCCCACAAACGGTCGCTTCGGAGGGATGTACGCACTGCGGATATGCTTCACCTTCTCGGAAGAACATGACTTGTTCAGGATCCGGACAAAATCCGAGGGTCCGAGTCTTCATGCACATTCCGTTGATTGAAATCCAGAATTTTCTGGCACGATGATTACTCGGACTTTCACTTTCTTGACGAAGACACAAGTTTTTCTGACATATTGGTTTCTGTGTGAGACCATAGGCAAGCCAGTGTCCTTCTCGACATGGACCCTGTTGTGATCATTTAAAAACATTATTATTCTTTAATTTGACAACTAATTTCATTAATTACCTGAGTATTCACGTGATAACAACTATCCGTCGGTTGCCAGTATAGCAGAGGACGCCCACATCGTTTACTATGATCACAATCACATTCACCATACTCCGTATTTCCGATCCGGTAAAAGATCATGTTACGACCACAGGGCCCCTTGTCATCAATTGGAAAGCATTCCGCACTCTTTTTATGATATCGAAAAAATTTGAATCCGGGTCGAGTTCCGTTTACGTAATAGTTTTGGGCGCAGAGTCCGGCCTTCCTATTAAAATGGTAAACTGTAGCTCAATTATTTTCATATCTTGGGACTGCAGCAGGGTGAAAATGTAGAAAAATAATTATTTCACGATTACTTACTGAATATATCTGTCCCTGATAGGATTACGCCTTCGATTGGTGGGTGCTGGGTGTGCCGGGTGCTGGATATGATTGACATTTGTGGTGCGTTGTGCGTGACTACTCAAGGCAAAGAGGACAAGGGCCAAGGATGTTATAAATAGGAGAGAAATTATCACAGTGGCCAACCTCATGGTGATAACGGTAATAGAATCAATGTAATAATATTAAATGAGGTAAAACTTGGTAATAATATCGATTTAATTGCATGTAAATATTATACAGGATGACGATGTGGTCACACCAAAAGCAAAAGTTGAAATGCATACAATCTTTTTTAATTCATTCTTCTCAATGTCACGAACTTGAAAGATTTCAAAGAGTGAAAGTGAAATTGCAACGAGTTTGTTACAAAAATCAAAACAGCAACACTTTAAGGGAAACTTGCAATTATCTAGAGCGGATATAATATGCCGTCCTTGTTGTGTGTTATATAGTCCCGAAAACTGGTTTCCCTTTACTATTACAACTTGTAATTTGCAAGAATTCTAACGTTCGCATATTTACTATTTAGTTGTTGAAAAATGTGAAATAACAATACAATTTGCGTTCTAATGTAGACGTAAGTAGTGTCAACAGGATTGACAAATTACCCTCCATTTCACTATTCAACACGCCACGACTACTTTATATCATGCCAAATATTATGTGCCTACGTAATATCGACTAGAAATTCTACTTTGCACTCGGTAATCTGTATCAATCTATACCCTACTTTTACAAATTTGAGCTTATTATAAATTATTAGTTATCAAACTATACAACAATAAGATGACTGTTCTGAATCTAACATTCCACCCGCCCCGGTTCTAATATTTTCATCGACGTCGCCCAAAGTTTCCTCGCCAGATTTAATTCCATCCGCCTTTAATTGTAGGAATGAGGCCTCATAGCCTTTTTCGATGGACGGGGGGAGTGGTGGTTTCCATTCTGCTTCGGACAATGGGACCTTTCTTGGCTGCCAAATGTCATTGTTGTAATGTCCCTGAAGGCGTTGTCGAACCCGTCCTTTCTCACTTTCAATTATATTATTCTGTAAATTGTTGATATAAATGTCACGTTCTTTTCAATAAATAAGTATATTATCAAGTAACTAACCGCGGCTTCCAGATCTTGTTTCCCTTCCCATTTATAGCAATTGTCCAAATCACTTTTCCATCCGGAACAATCAGTCATTTCTCCAGCGACGAAATATTGGTGAAAACGCGCTTTAAAACTGCGACAGTCGCTGTACTCATCTTTGTAGTGCTCGCAGGGCTTCACCTGATGAAAGAAATGTTAACGAGTTAATAAATCATTAGAGAAAATTAAATGTTTCCAAAGTTCATTTACCATCCACAAATGTTTAGGTTTGTCTTGTTCGGTTGGAGATTTCTCATTTTCACTGCCCGTCATTGCGAACTTGCAATGAAATGAAAATTTTGTGGTTTGCAAATGAAAATTTTGTGTTTCTACAAAAAAATTCCGGTTTGTCTCGCGTGCAGTAATGTTGTCCGCCAGACAAAATATTCCAGTCAGTCTCATCTCAACTTGAGACTCAAAATCACAAGTAGAAATAATATTGTCTCAAATTCCCATCTTTCTTCTTACAAACTGCACTTACATTTCATTCAGAAATTTATATTTATGCATGAAACCCTAAAGTTTCAAGCTTTTACGTTACCAAGCTGCTTGAAAATTACCTTCAAATCGCGCTATAATAACAAATTGATCTTGATGATTATCAAAAATTTCTTATCTTTTGAGATCCATCTTCTACAAAGTCGTGTTCAAAGTATATAATCAATTTTAAACATGGGACCAAAGCCTCCTCAAGAGGATACAATTCCATCTTCGAAAAATCCGAAAAACGTCGACTTTTTCGTAAATGATGGTCCCCTTTACGACGAGGATGTTGACTTTAGCGAAATGAATACCGAAATTGACGAGGATGAAAAATTACTGAACGACACGGTTGCAAAAACGCGTGCATCCATCATTCCGAAACGACCCACCCCCAAAGCGGAAAGGAAATGGTGTCAATATTTTCCATGCTGTTTAAAACTCCCGTTGGAAATTGGGATTCAAATATTATGCGTTTTGGACTTGGTAAAAAAAAAACATAAAATTCATAATTTGACATGATTTCAATTTAACAATTTTACAGATTTACTGCATACTTTCCCTCGTTTTATGGTCAACCTTCCTCGGAATGGACTTATTCGCTCACAAATTGTCCGAGTTGAACCAAACAGATCGTTTCAGACCACCGGATAACTCTGGACCTGTTATAGGTGACCCGTTCGAGACCTCAACTACGACCGCCAAGCCTCCATGGACGCTGAGAACGGAAACCACAGAAATTCCAAAGTATGACCTTGACGTAGTGGATTCAGACATTTTGAGCAAACAGTACTCTAAAATTGCAAGAATAACGGTGGCTCGACACGAAGCGATCGAACGGGCGTGTGGTCACCACTATTTAATTAAATACTTGTTCATGCATGAGTTAATGCAGACGAGAGAAATTTGGCGTAAGATGGAATTAATCTGTAAAGTAATTTGATATCGTGATTTTATTTATTTATTTATTCGCAGAGGATTTTATTTGGACGGCAATAATTGGAGAGCTAATTTTCCTTCTGACTGCCGTTTTGACGTTGATGTGCGTCTGTTGTTTTGTAAGAGCTTACTACATAATCTGATAATCTCAAATTGGGGTACAGTAATTTTTTGACGCTAATATTTATACACAGATTGAACACCGTGGGGCAAAACTGCTCGTCATGATATTATGGTGGCTTGAATGGATTCCCATTTTTCTGCATTATGACGCACTCATTCGGAGTCAAAGTAAACGGCTTTGCATTTTAGAGAATGCATCGGCCTACATCAAGGGACAGTTATTTTTTCTAATTTTCCTCGTTATTCGTGCCATGATGTTTAAGCCGTACCAACTTTTGGTGCACTTTTGCTACATTAAGGTCTGGTAAATCACATATATAACGCGCTTATGAACATTTATGTCCTGAATATTTACATAATTTCAATAGGAACTCCTCGTTTACGGGTACCTGAAGGACGAGTCGATCAATTCCATCGAGGAATCGCAATACGCTCAGAAATATTTCCAACCATTTTACGACTTGGAGGAAGATCGAGAGAGTGGGAATGTGGACGCTTATAAAAATACGGACACCACAGTTTCCGTAGGTTTCGATACGATTATTCCGGCGGAAGTGGCTAACGTTCAAAATAAAGTAATGACCAATCAAGATGACCCATTCTCGATACGTAATCAAGAAATTATAGCCGTCCAGTCGGGAAAAATTGAGCAAAATATCAAATCCGTTCGACACTTTTGAAAAATTCGGAGTGTATTAAATACAATTAAATGTGTATAGATTTGCTATTTAGCAAATCTATTACTTGATTAGTATTTAAATACTAATCAAGTAATAGTACTAGGAATTAAGAATATATATAAAATATTTGTAATTGAGACCTTTAATTATCATGCTTTATGACTTATCATCTTGGATAATAAATTATTATGTTGGATTGTTACAAAATCTTTGACAGAAAATATTTGTTATTGTTCGTCCATTCCTCTTCTCCTGGCAATGGCCGCCTCTGATTTCCCTGTTTCTTGAGCAAGTTTATATAATGCACTGTTCCGATTCCTTAAAAGAACGTCTGGTTCATCCATTTCCTGGAAATTTAAGAGTAAAAACAATTTTATAGGGAATCTGATATTTTCTAATTTACTCCTCAATTACCATAATTTTTCCAGCGTCCATAACTATGATTCTATCACAATCCATAATAGTGTGTAACCTGCAAAAAAAATGCATACAAGTCATTTTTGTCTTGCCGACATACATAATTATACAGATAATTTACCTGTGGGCAATGGTAATCACTGTACAGTCGGCAAAATCAGTTCGCAAAGTTCTCTGAATCAATGCATCAGTCCTACAATTAGCAATAAGTAACTTATTAATTACTGCAGTTGTGAATTAAATTGTATTAAAATCATCCTCACTCGGGGTCACAATTTGCAGTCGCTTCATCGAGAACAAGGATTTGATTGTTTCGAAGAATAGCTCTAGCCAAGCAGAATAATTGCCTAATAATAATTGAAATAATATGAATTTAAAGTCAACATGAAATAATTAATAAGTAATTAAAATAATAGTAATTACTTTTGTCCCATGCTGAAATTTAATCCTCCTTCGGCGATCTACAAACGACATACTTATTAAAACTATTGAACTTTTGCTAATAACTTTAATTACTCACCTGTGAATAAATACCAAGCGGCATGTCTTGCACGGTTTGTTCGAGATTTACATCCTTCAGAACTTCCCACACCTTGGAATCTGTAAATTTATGAAATGGGTCCAAATTTTTCCGAATCGAACCCATAAACAGGACAGGATCTTGCGGTATAATTGAGAGTCTTGAGCGAAGATCTATTTAGAATAAATAATTGTATGGAGACCTTATTCTACTAATTTTCCTACATAAATTTTAAAACATACCGTGAAGACCAATTGAGTTGGTTATGACTCCATCAATCTCAATAAACCCTTCCGACGGTTCTACAATCCTGAACAGTGCGGACAAAAGCGAGCTTTTGCCTGCCCCTGTTCGTCCAACGACCCCAATCTTAAGACATAAGCCAAGTAATCATAATTTAAATTTTCGCAGTTAAACACTAATTAATTATTAGTTAAATACTATTATGCACCTTTTCTCCTCCGTAAATAATACAGTTGATATTTTTCAGAACAACCACTGGCGAATCGTCTCCATATCGAAGGGACATATTTTGAATTCTAATCTCTCCCTTTTCCGGCCAACTTCTTGGTGGTCTATTTTCAGGCTCTGATTCAAGGGCAGCTTCCGGTTTCAAGTCACAAAATTCCATGACACGTTCCACACAAACCATTTGATTGGTCAACTCGGCCGATTGACGGATTCCCCATTGAAGCATGCTAATTAACAAAATTACGTGCATTTAAACCCATTTTTACTTGAAAAAATTCGAGTTCTACCTCGTCAACATCATCGCACTCGTTAACGACAATCCCGCAACGGCGTCATCTTGATTACTCACAAACGCATTGATCATTACTGCAGCCACGAAAAGGATGGCCAACCAATCCACGACGATTCCCAACCATCTCGACGACGCCAGGAAAAGATACCACACCGAGGAATGCACGTCAAGATAAGATTCAAACTGCTTTTGGAACATGGCTTCGCATCCGAACGCACGAATTGTCCCGAGTCCATTTAGCGAGGTGCTGATGTGCGAAAATACCGGACTTCTTGCCAACCCCTCGAGACGTTTAATAGCTCGACCAGTCTTGAAGTAAAATTTCCTCACGGAATAGAAAGCAATGACCATGATGACCGCGGGTATCAGCATGATGGGGCTTCCAATACTGACGACTACGATAACCCCGACGAACTGAAGAGTAATTTCGATCGTGTCGAAACTCACGGTCGGTAAAGCTTCGTCAATGACGCCAATGTCTTTTGCAAATCTGTTCAGGATTCTACCTAAAATTTAGACATTTATCATTGTGAAGTAAATAAATAATTGAGAAATTACGTTAAGTAGTATGCATCAACCTGTTCACATTCATTCAATTATACCGAAATGAATGAATGAAGAATGAATAAATAATTCAATATTTCAAAATGAATGAGTGTGTTCTTTATTCATTCATTTTTTGCCCTATGTTAAATACACGGGGCGAATGAATGAAGAATGAATGAATAATTCAAATTGAATTTCGAAGTGAAGGAATTTTGAATGAAGGAAAAAAAATTGAACAGGTATGCATGTACGTACCGGTTGGATTGGTCTCAAAAAACGACATTGGAGACCTCAATACTCCGCTTAACAGGCGATCATGAAGTTCCACCGAGGTTTGCATGCACACACGATAAAAGTTAAGTGACCGTGCGAGCGAAAGTATCGACAGGAGAATGATCAACATGGCGTAAATTATTATCTGAGCGTCCCGACTCCCTTCTAATTTCTGCTTAAAGTTTTTTCGGGCTTCGGGAATAGCACTTTTATTCTTTCCTTCTGCTTCCATCCTATAAATTAGGGTCTAATTTAAATATGATTTTAATGTTTGGAAATTATTTATGTATATATTTACCAAAACTGCAGCCATAAGTCGGTACACGTGAAAATTACTTGGCACGCTAATTGAGACGCGATCAGAATAAAAAGCGCCGTACAACTCGACCCCGCACTGAAGTAGCTCCAATAAAGCTTCGAATTTAAGTGACCAATGGCCAGCTCCTCGTCCACTGGGGTCGGTTCTTCTTGGTCGGGATTCGCCTCGGGGGTCGGGGGTTGTTTGGATGCCAAATTGTTGACATTCGTTGTCGTTGGAATTATCGTGGCGGAGCGGGAATTCTTATTTCCTTCGCCGTATGGAATTATTTCTTGATGAGTTGGACCGTGTGGACTCTTTGGATTGCTGTCGAGGACAAGAGTCGCACTGGAAACGTGCCGAGATGGAGAAACATAGGACGAAATCTTGTCAAAATTATGTGACATTGCTCCCGAAGATTCTTTATTGACGGGGAGGATCATTGATGGCTCAGCGTTCGTGGTAAATGCGGAATTTTCATTACGTAATCGAGTTAAAATTCCGGCGTAAGGGATCCCAGAAGTAAGTAAAGTTTCAAAATCTCCGTAATACTTGGGCCATCCGTCGACGAGGAGGAGAATTCGTGTCATGAAGGGTAAATATTGGAGTTGATGGGTGATTAGAATTCGAACTTTGTCCTTTAATAGGCCTAAAATGCATTTGTTCATGAGGCGACGTCCCACCTGGGGGTCGACGGAACAGAGAGGATCATCAAGTAGAAATACGTCCGCGTCCGAATATACGGCTCTAAAATAACAACCACATCATTTAAATAATTTATGAATTTGATATTTTATAACTATACATTAGTAATTAACGTCTCACCTTGCGAGCCCTATTCTCGCCTTTTGACCCCCACTCAAGGTTTCCCCTCTGTCACCAACCAGCGTGTGATCTCCGTACGGGAGGAGAGTCAAATCTAGCAATACAATATTATAGATTTCTATTGCGAATTATATTAAAAATTCTTGCATAGGTTAAAAATTCATCGCCCAAAGAAGCGTGCTCAAACTCGGATCTCAAGTCAAGTATGTCTTGAAAATGATGGTGGACCACTTTGTCTAATTAAATTTTTCTATATTTACCTAGGCTAAGGGCACAGGCGTCTATAACTTGGTCGTACCTATTAAGGAACAAATGCGTTAATTCGTAATTTAAAATATTTGAATCAAATCAGTAAAAAAAATTACCAGTCCGAGTCAAATTCAAGACCAAAGAGTATATTTTCACGGACAGAGCCTGGAAAAATCCATGGATGAGACGTATAAGCCACCGATCCTTTCACAGCCAGCTCTCCCGACGAGATAGGAAGTTCTCCTAGAATTGCTTGGACAAGTGACGACTTTCCTGATCCGACTGGTCCAACAACTGCATACAAAACCCAAATTGCAAAAACTACATGGTTCCCATCAAACTATAAGTAAATATTTCCATACGTACTAGCAAGAATTTCTCCACGTTTTACTCTACAACTGACATTATTGAAGGCCATATCATGGCTGAGGGGGACCCATTGACCGCTCACATTTTTCACAACCACGCCCGAATGTTTTGCTGGAGGTTGGGGAAGAGTTTTCTCGGAATGATTGTCAGTAGTCTCCTCCATCACGAGTAAATTTTCTTGAACAATTTTCTCTAAAAATCCCAACTTGGATTTCACCTTTGGCTTTTGACTACTGACGCTGGACGGGTCCAAGGAATCGACAGTGTCATCGTCGTTGTCATCGTCGTCGTCGTCGCTGTCATCATTTTCGTCACCTTCGCCCCCATCCCTTGCATTATTATCTTGTTGAGGAGCGGCACCTGGTTTGTTGTCAGGTTGCTGCGTCTCCTTGTCCACTTCTGCGAAATATTCGGACTCGCAAATAAAATTCATATTTAAATCGAGCCGATTTGCATACCCAAAGTTGGAATCGGACTTTCATCCTCGTAACATCCCGGCAACAATGGTTTTTCTTGAAGGAGGAGAAAGTCCTGAAATCTTCGAATCGTGATCGACGTCTCAGCCAATGAAATCACCGCTGCCGGAAAGAACATCATCATCACGTTTTCAATACTGTAGTACAAAGCAAGGGATACGAACACCTGAAAAAATCCAACATTTACAATAGTTGTTCGCAAATCAGTAGCAATGTTTATCTCACAATTTCTGCCGTTAAACTATTTCCGATAAGCACATAACCCAACAAAGTCAGGAATAGAGTGATCCTTGACGTAATGTAGAACAGACTTTGAGTCGACGCTTTCCAATACATTGCTTTTCTCAGCGCCACAATCTCTCCAAGTCGGGCGTCTCTGATGGATTCCGTGAAAACGGATTCCCAAGCGTACATTTTGATGACTCGCATCGCCGAAATCAGTTCGTCCATGATGAGGAGTCGTCTATCCGTTTTATCAACGGTTTCTTGTCGTAGTCGGCTGTACACGCGTCCCATCAAACCTTTAATTAATTTTTAAATTACAATTTAGTTCATTTCAGAGTAATCTACATAATTGAAAAATACCTTGAAAAGGGACAAAAATTAGGATTAATCCAATCCCAGAAAAACAAGGCCAACCAATATTCAAGTACTGATACAAAACTATAATAGCCAACGTAAATTGGATCGGAGCGACCCAAATGTAGTGGAGAAATGTCATCAGAATGTCGAATCGCCCTGTAAATATCATTAAAAATTAGCACATAATTCCAAATATTTTGCACAATTTTTCACAATTTCTCACTTGCCCATGTCACTACTCAAGAAATTTATTATATGTGACGCCGACGTGTCCTCCAGTGCTCTCATGCTCATCCGCAACGCCTTCCTGTAAATCAGGGAACAGAGACTGATCCTTATTTTCATTCCTAAATGTTGCACCGCAAATGTGAAGGGGTGGTCGGACGAGGTGTAGCAAATGGACAGAAATACGACCCCAGCCCCCAGTAGAGGTCCAGCATAACTTGGAAAGTCATCAGGCTTGAGGAAATATCGGAGTAAAATTCCAAAGCAGATGGGTTGTGATATCCTGCATGTGTAAAATTCAAATTACGTGTAAATACAAATTATGATGGAATTCATTACTTACAATCGAGGTCTCCCAATGCATGCACACAGTTTTGAACCAAACTGGTGTAAATCGATCACAAATTTAATTAGTATGAAATTTGCGAAAGACACGATCTCCTAATGGGCACGTTTGGCAGAGATATTTGCATCCGAAGAAAAGAAAACGCGCAGTAAATTTAGAGAGTGCAAAATTTGTCAAATTTAAGATGCGTTTTCTCCTTTTTTTATGCAAATATCTCCGCTAAACATGAGCATTGACAGATTGCTCTATTATTTGCAAATTTCATACTAATTAAATTTACGATAGATTGACACCAGTTTGGTCCAAATCTGTGAGCATACGTAGGGAGACCTTAATCTTTAGTTAGTCGACTGACTTGACGATGCATTCTTCATAAAAGGCGAACACGCCATAGGCAGCAAATGACGGTCCAAATACTTTGGTAAGAGCTTTCGTCAGACTTGGTTGATACTCTTTCCCTTCAAGTTGTCGAGATATTGCGGATTTTTCCAGCTCCTTGTTCCATGCTTGTTCTAATTGGTCACCCAAAAGTCTGCTCTCGTCGGAGGGAAGGACGCGGTATAAGTCGGAAAGCTGAAGAGTTTTCCGGAAACCCTTCTGGAAAAGGGGGATCAACCATCTTGCAAAGAAAATGCAGGATTAGTAAACATTTCAACTTGGGTTCCTGATCACGATACGTGTGTATTTATAGCATTGCAGCTTACATGAAAAATAGTTGCGATATCAAGCCGGCCTTTCTCCGGGGATTTTTCTCCTGTTGGAGTGGGTGCATTATTCATGAAATGATTTTCATACAAACAAATCAAACTTCAGTATGATATTTGTAAATAAATGGGCACATTTTGACATTTTTTCGTGCCAAAACCTCATTAGCAACTAGATAATTAGTGGAAATTATAAAATCATAAATAATTACCGTACACTTTTTTATGCGAAAAGATGAAACTCTCACTTTTATTATCTCGTGTCACACGTTTGTGCTTGCACAGTTTTAAGTTGTCAAATCCACAGGTTGGGTGAGGGTAGAACGTCTTAATTTCGTAGCTACATGATCCAGAAAGCTGATCCAAAAAGCTGGTGTGAAAATTTTTCATACGATTTGACGGTGCATTAATTAATTAACATTGTTAAAATATATTATGAATATTAAGGCGAAGCAAAATAAAACTGTAAAGTTTACTAAATAGTCCTCCTAGACCGTTTCACAACATTTTTAATTAACATTGTATTAATTATTCCATGATAACTGTAAAAGAAGTAAAAGTCCAACCGATTCAAATGTATAAGTATGAATTATGTTCAGATTTAAAAATTAAATTTGTAAAGTTAAGTTAGTCAAATTACAATTTGAAATCTGAAATATTTTTTCGAATCAATTATTGCGTAAGGGAAATTAGTGGTGTGTTTTTGCTTAAAAAGGGTGCAAGCTTATCTTAACGCCACGATCATCCTATTCATGATTCCATGATACATTGGGTATTGAGGAAGAAACGCTTGACACCAAAGCTTGTACAAACAAATATGCTGCATATATGCACAAGCTAATTTCGCACTCAAACGCGAAAGACACCAAAAATTGAATAATTAATCCATTTCTTGTTTGGTGCATACCCTCCTTATTTTCCATTCGGAAAACAAACATCAATCCGGACAAATGTAAATGTATATGGTCAAAATTGCACACTATTTTTTACTTGTAAGTACCTGATCATACCCTTGTTTATTACCGGGTTGGAAGAAGGTAGAATTATGTGTATGCTTACATATGAACTATGAACATGTCAACTTTATTCTCGTCGTGGCATGATTTTGATGTACAATTCAATATACATACATATCCGAATCCATGTTCGAAATTGACACAATGTTGTACATTTGTGTTACGTAGGTTTGTGCATTTATACTGCTGAGGTCAGTTGTAGGGCACCATCCTCGATTGCAATACAACTTCACTTCCTTGCTTATACTTTTTAGTTTTAATCACTTTTAAATTACCTAATCTGAACTCATTAAATCAAAAGTCCTCGTACATAAATAGCGATCATTAAAATTCATATATTAGAAAATTTTGAAAATTTTGACAATCCCTGCGTAACAATGTAATCTTAGCCAACTTTCTCCAATCTGAAAGCATACAAAGCAACTTTTTGCTTTGACATCCAAACTAAATTCAATTCTAACCATAAACTAAACCCTAATTTGAGCAAATTTTGCCCCCTCGGCGTCACAAAATGCCGAAGAGGGAGGTTACCTACAACCCGCCATCGTTATTGGCCGTGTTGCCAATATTAGCAATTGCTGTCTCGTCCATCATCATAGCATGCATCTTAATCTTCATCTTGGTCCTCTGTTACCGCAACTGGAGCAAAATCAAGGCAGGATGGGCGTGGTTCTCAGGCCTTCAGCCGGACCAGAACTCGACAGGGGTTCAATTCCTCCGAGGATCTAAAATCCCTGGAATCAAGGATGCCATGAGACCTAACATCCATCCACTCAGAAGGTACGCACATTTTCGGATATTAAATAACTAACTTTTTTAGAATGTAGTAATTAAGGAAGTCATTAAAAATAACAATTGAAACATATTTAGAACATTTGCATAATTAAACGTTGCTTGATATAATGCTCAATGAAATGGTTCATTCATGAACTTATGCATATCTCGCTGCATTGGTGAAATTCACACCTACATATTTTTAAACCAATCCATTCTCAAAATTCGATTGTCGTAGACGAATACATGGCAGGGTTTGCTGAATTATCATAAAAAGCCAAATCAAATGTAATACATAGACATCCGCGTTTGCTATCATATTCATCCCTATTCATCCAGGCACGTATGACGTATGTAAATGGATTTGTGTATATGCAGTATTATGAAGAGAAATGTTCAATAATTTATTTCATGAGAACAATTCCATGCTGCGGCATGTACGACTGGTTCCAAATAGCCATCGTGATTATCCCTTATCCTTAGCTAAGTAGATGTCAATCAATCTGAGGACGAGCGTCAGTTCGGCAGACTCTTAAGTTTGCGTGCAATGGTTTTGCAATGGTTGCATTATGCTATAAACACCTCTGCCATGCTTTCCCCATTATAATCAATCAATGATATTTTTATTTATTCAAGGCGTATTCTAATTGTATTTACATGCCATATCTGTTTTTTATAGGGAAAAATTTATACTTTTGCTTGTATAAAGTATTTTTTAAGATAACAATATATGAATATTAAAATAATATAGTTAAGAAGTTATCAAATTAAATAAAGTCGGGCGACTGGAGCTGTTGCATTGAACTCTTGTAATTTCGTCCCTCGTAGTCGATGTTAATACATTCGCGAAATATTTTATGCCTTAAACAATCCCGTGGGTCCTTAGATGTTGCGCATGGGTCCTGGTGCATTTCATTTTCAGGAAATATTGGTGATATCCCACACTTTCTTGTATTATTGTTTGTACAACGATAATAGGTGTTCGCTTCGCAGGTTGTTTGAGGGTAGAACTTCCTAATTTCATAGCCACACATCATAAATGTTGTTCCATAATATGGGTTTGAAACTTTTCAAAAATTTCCATATGATTTTGGACAGCTGCATCCCTCATCTCTCTGAAATTACTATTTTTTAAGTTTTAACACACACATGTACCATTATCAACTTACCATGCAAAATCCGCAGTGTAAAATGATTAGAAAAATAATGAACTTGCACATTTTTGAAAAGGACAAAAATTGTCTGGTTCTCTCAACAGCGGTATAAAATGTGTGTAAGTTAGATATCATTTATTTGTAGCAGAGTAACAATGGGGGAATTAAACTTTTATACATCATTAATTTCAGAATTACTTGGTAGGCATTAATATGCGGATTTTTGTACAACTACCCACGAATAACTAGCGTGATTATCATTAAAAAATAATCATTTAAATTAGATTTATGTCAATCAATCAGATGGTCGATTCGTCAGAAACTTTAATTTACATGCAAACGGGTGGTGTTAGTTTCATGTTGCTATTTACACCCCCAACCCCTGCAACGCGCAATGCTTTCCCCATTATAATCAATGTTATTTTATTTTTTACCAGTATTTTACAATACTGGTAAATTTCATATACATATTTACAGCAAAGCAACAATGGTTTGAGCAATAAAATTTATTACACGCTATTAATTTTAGAATGGTTTATACATAAACTTGCATATATGAATTGATGCATATCTAATTGCATTGGTGGAATTCACACCCCATTTTTGAAAATCGATCCATTCTCATAATCATTATGCATCCTTCGATTTCCAAAATACTTACGCGTTTTCTGTCATATTCAATTACGTATGCAAACACATTTATGCGGTATTATGAGGATCAATGTTCAATAATTAATTTCATGAATACGATACGTATGACTGGTTCCAAATAGCTATCCTGATTATCATTAAACTAAAATGGCAATCAATTTTAGGACGAGCGTCGGTTCGGCAGAAGCTTAAGTTTGCGTGCAATGGAGGAGCGTTGGTTTGGTTGCATGTTGCTAAACCTCTTCAATGCTTTCCCCACTATAATCATGATATTCTTGTTTATTCAAAGTGTAGACTTCCATTCTAATTGTACTTACGTGTCACATTTATTTTTCATAGGTTAAAAATTTTATAATTTTGCTTCCATAAAATAATTTTTAAGGTTATATAAAATTGGGATGAGGATGACGCGACATTGCATGACAGTATATGAACATTAAAATGTTGTTAATAAATTGTCAAATTACATAAAGTCGGGCGATTGGATTTGTTGCATTGAATTCTTGTAGTATTCTCCTTTACTGTCGATGTTAACACATTGCCGAAGTACCTTGTGCCTTAAACAATCTTGCGAGTCTGTAGAGTTAGCGCATGGGTAAAATCCTTCAATAGTGGTTCCATCCCACAGTAAGTACCCCTCGTATCACACGTTCTTTTAAGCACGGCCTTATTGTTTATACAGCGATAAGAGTTGTCCATTCCACAGGTTGTGTGAGGGTAGAACTTCTTAATTTCATAGCCACACATCATAAATGTTGTTCCATACGTTGGGTACGAAATTTTCCCAAATTTCCCATACGATTTGGGACAAATGCATCCCTCATCCCCCTGAAATGACTATTTTTTTTATTTTAACAAGACACATATGTACCATTATAAACTTACCACGCAAAATACGAAATGTAAAATGATTAGAAAAATTATGAACTTGTACATGACTATACAGGAAAAAATTGTCTGATTCATTCAAGAGATATCTAAAATATTTAATCTGCCTCTTGTGTATGGCTAGACGTCATTTTTGTGGAGTAACAATAGGGAGTTAAACTTTAGACGTCAATAACGGCTTGCTTTCGGCATGCGGATTTTTGTGCTGCAGTACGATGTCAATCAATAATAAATTGCATTCAATAGAGTGGTCTTGCTTACACGTTGTTACACCTCTGCAATGCTTTCCCCATTATAATCAATAAAATGATATTCACGTTTATTTAATGTATACACATGACATATATTTATTTTCAGTTCAATGTAAAATGTATAATGTTTCTTCCATAAAGGTGTTGCTATATTAAATTGAGAGGTGATTGACTTATACAGCAATGCATATACATTCAAATAATATTGCCAATTTGCTAACTTACATAAAGTCAGGGGACTGAATTTGTTGCATTGAACTATTGTAACTTTCTGAGTCGAAATCAAAACATGCGCGAACTAATTTGTGTTTAATACATTTTTTCGAGTCTTCTG